ACATCCAGTCCAACCCTGTGCCATGCAGGAAGGCCCAATCAAAGCATTCACAATAGACAGCCTTTGCGGAAAAGCCTCCTGAAAAGAAGACTCCACTACACTCCAAGGCCACCTGTGCCACCCTCCAGGAAGTTCTTCCTAATCTTTTCAGTCAAATCTCTTTCCCTGCCATTTGAACCCATTGCTCCCTTATGCCCTGGTCTCTAGAGCAGCAGAAAGTCACGTTTCCCCCCTCCTCAATGGGGCACCCTTTTAAATTTTGAAACATGGTTCTCATATTCTCTCTCTACTGTCTCTTCTCCCAGCTAAACATTCCCAAGGAGGAAAGGAGGAAGGAAAAAGAGAAGAAAGAAGGAAGTGTGGAAGAGAAAGATGGAATGGAGGGAGGGAAGGAAAGAAGGGAGGAAAGACAAAAAGGAAGGAAGGAAGGAAAAAGAGGGAGGAAGGAGGGAAGGAGAAAGAGGGAGATAAGGAAGGAAGGGAAGTGTGGAAGGAGGAAGGAAAGAGAGAAGGAAGGAAGGATAGGATGGTGAGAGAAATGAGAGCCTGAGAAAAGAGCGGGCCTGGATTTGCCCATACCTTATATTCACAAAATTATGCCTATTATAGGACTGTATAGCAATCATAGAATAGGAGAATTACGGAGTTGGAAAAGGCCACAAGGGACATCAATCTCACCTCCTGCCACATAGGAATATAAAATTAAAGGACTCCTGACAGATGGCCATCTAACCTCTGCTTAACAATTTCTACAGACTCTACCATACTCCAATGCATCATATTCTACTGTTGAATAGCTGTTACCATCAGTATTTTTTTTCCTAATATTTAGGTGGAATCTCTTTTCCTGTAATTTGAATCCATTGTTCATATCTTGTTCTCAGAAAATAAGATAGCTTTGCTCTGTCTTCATTATGACTTCCTTTGAAATTTTTATACATGGCTATCATGTTATCTCTTACCCTTCTCTTCTCCAAACTAAATACACCCATCTCCCTAAGCTGCTCTCTAAAGGGCATTGTTGCCAGATCTTGGTTTATATGCAGTGATGCCATATGCTAATTGCTATAGTAGATCCATATATTTGTGTGAAAGTAGTACAAGAACAAAATTGAGTACATTTCCTCATAAAACTACTAGTGGTAGTGTAAGGCGCTGCATGTCTACATTGACTCTTGTGCTACTATTTGGATAACACATAAATCTAGATAAAACAACTATGTTAGATGTACTTTACTTAACATTTTGGCCATTAAATCATGTTGGTCAGCCCTGACTAGATTAAATTTATTTAATCAATACTTTCATAATGAGTTAACACATAGATTGATTCCATTGATTCAGTAGTCTGGTCTGCTTTGGCCTACAAATAGAATTCAGGCCATTCTGTGTACAACAATGGGGCTCAACCTGTTACTTTTTAATAGAAATTAGGCTTACATTAATTTGAGGTATTCAGGAATATTAGGGGGGTATTTTAAAAGTGTTGTGTTTAAAATATGTAAAACAAAGGACAGTCACAGGTTAATTTTTATGAGCAGCATAGCACTTGTTCCTTGTGAGTAAATTAGCACATTAATGAGTTACGATTAAATGCACATTGCTTTTTAAAGTAACTGTTGCGTATTTCTCTGTAGGGCTTTCTAGATAGACTTTTGTTGAGGAGCCAAACTAAATGTGCTAAACTGTTACTTGTGCGACAGTAATAGTGGGCAGTGGAGTTTCTCCCAAAGCAATGGCAGTGGCACTGTACTTTTATGCTTGTAAGCACTGAGAAGAGGAAGACACAGTCCTCCTTTTGAAGATCGTTTACCACAAACACCCTACTCAAAATGAATCAAGAGATAGTGAATATGAGATTCCCATTTTAGATGACACTCAGTCAGCTACATGACCAAGTAGAAATAAAACACAATGCAAATAATATGCGAAAAATATATAAAAGGTGAAGTTGAAGCTGCAATCTGATAAATACATTTTTGACAACAGATGGTAAACCAGTAGTTGGGGTGGGGATTAAATCCAGCAGGTACTGCTTGTTCTGCTCTCCTCCGAGGCAACAGAAGTAGCAGTTGGGATGGATGGAGGGCTTTTCTTAAGCTACTGAGGAAGATTCCTCAGTTGAGGGCAATGGATGTATGTGAGAATATGATGTGGTGCTATGCTGCTGTGTTGGAGTTCTTGCATTAATCTATAACACAGAGAAGATGTGGTTTGTGAAAGTTGACAGTGGAATAGCCTAGTACACAAGGTACACAGAGTAATGTTAAGGGCACTATAATTGTACAAATTATTTAGGGTTTGGGTGATGGCACATTTTTTTGCTTGTATGTGGGTGGTTCTTCTGTGCTGTCTTAGATAATCATTACAATTTTACATGGCAACTACACTGACAAATTAAGCAACTATGATATAAGATAAAGCAGGACTGCACTATTTGGCTCTTGTAATGGGCAAATGTTAAAACTAACTTCTGTGGGCCACCCCTCCTTCCTCCCTGCTTGCCTGCCAAAGAAAAAGCCCCACCTCTTCCCTAACCTTGCACAATTCCCTGGGAAAGCGCCTGCTTCTCCTTCACTGCTGTTGGCATGCTTACTTAGAACCACTTCTTTTCTTCCAGACATTAAAAGATGGTTTCTTCCAGCATTGCCAATGGGCCAGAAGAAATCTGCTGTATGTTTTTCTTTATTGTGTAGAATAAAAAGTTATAATTCTCATTGACATTTCATCTTGACTTAAGAAAAGGTCTTCAAATTGATAGTAGGTAACAAGTTAGTGTGACAGATCCTTAGGTTTACGTTATGCACATTTATTTTCTATATCCCAGGAGGAAAAAAAAACACTTTTCCAATCATTTGTGGGATACAAGTTGTTGTTGTTGTTGTTGTTGTTGTTGTAGTAGTAGCAACAAACTTAAAACAGTTGCTGAAGAACTGTCATCTTGCTGTGCTTTGAATTATGTGTTCCGTCTATTAGTTGCTTCTTTACTCAAATGTATCACTAAATAAATGTAACTGAGCCTCTTCAAAATGTTAGTTTACACTTCAATATATCACATATAATCCATAAATCTGGGAGCTCTTGAAAACCTTAACTGAAATCCATACTTTTATGCTTTTTGATTGCTCAGAGCTATTGAAGTTACATATAGACTCCATCCTCTTCAGTACTCTGGCTGTGGGAAATAGACATGGAGAATGGTGAGAAAAGGTCTCCACATATGCTAATTCTTCATTTACGGTAGATAAACGTATACTTCAAATCCTGGCAAAACGTCAGTTTTCTTGCAGAGAACCTCTTCAAAGTTAGACTATTAAATATTTAATAGTCTAAATATTTATTCTCTCCTTACCCCTGTTTTAGTGTGTGGAAGAGGAAAGCATTCTCTTTTATTATGTTTTATTATGTGTTATTATTATTTTATACATTACTTGTTATTTATAAAATACATTTTTTATTTTAAACACATAACCAATTTGGGGGTTTTGGGAAGGCAGTGGAATGGATTAATAACTTTTCAATGCAAAAAATTGCTTTGAGACCAGCACCAGCCTTTTTTTTGGGGGGGGGGGGATTTTTCACGTGACACACCTAGGGACTGCAGGCAGCACAGAGTTTGGAAAGCTCTGCCTTAGACAGTTTGAAATCTTACAGTGTTTCAGCAATGTTTCTGAAGTCAGAGGTTTAGTTTCATCTATTTGTATCAGCAGTATAATCCAGAATTGTGCCTCATCTGTTTATTTACCTGTAAATGTCTCTCAGGAGGTATTTTCTTCTTTCTTCATATACAGTGTTCCATAAAATATTAAGCAAAAATAATCTCAGTCTTGCAAATTATAATGAATAGTGTCATTCTGTGTAGCAACTCCACTATTGTTTAAATCCTCCTCAGATTGTAGCATGGCTGGAAGTTCTAGTCTAGTAGTTCTGAAACTCTAAGCTGTACCGTATCTTAACATGGTTCATTTTACAAATGCTTGAAGGAATGAGTACCATACAAATGGAATATAGTACAGAATTAATTGTCTTAAATAGACCAAGTATACATGTCCCCCAAGAAGGTACTTCTAAGATGGTTTTCTCAAAAAATCTTGAAAGAATCAACCACAGTATGGTTTGTTTCAAAGCTATTAATTATAAATTTGTAATTGTGATAAAATTGAACTGTATTTAATGAATCACCTTTTAATTTGTTTGCTTGCTTTTAGAGAGTAGGAAGAATGAAAAATGTCTGCCTGTTGCCAAAAGGCTTGTGGGTACAGTGATACATTGACATACAAGTTTAATTCGTTCTGTGACCAAGTTCATAACGCAATTTGCTCGTATGTCAAAGCAAATTTCTCAATTGAGATGCATTGAAATGCTATTAATACACTTCAGAGCTCAGTCTCAGAACAAATTAAACCCATTTACCAAGGCCCCACAAGGTTCAAGGGCTTCAGCCAGGCCTTCCTACTTCCCTCCCTGAGTGGCTTCCTTTCGGCCTCCTTGCTGCTGTTCGCCCTTCAGAGCCAGAGATGGGAGAGAAAGGAGGCCTCCAGTCATACACACCAAGGCCCTTCCATCCCTGTGAGCTTGGCCTGCTTTTGGGGCTGTCTTCAGCTCTTATCATCACCATGGAGGTTCCCCTCAATCTCCCTCACTGGCGTTGCATGGCCTGCTCCAGGTCCAAGCTATGGTGGAGTCTCTTGGCGGGTAGATGGAGTAGTCGATGCTCTGGCCAATTCTCCCATCTTGGAAGGTTCTTGTAATTCAAATCTGGCTCGCATGTCGAATAAAAAATCAGACAAGCAACGGCTTGTAACTCAAAAAGCTCTCAACTTAATATGCTCATAAGTCAAGGTTCCACTGTATCTTGTTTTATACAAGATGCTGTGGTGTTAGTTGAATATTTGAAAAGAACCTGGTATGTTGATGGCTCAAATTGCTGTGTGTGTAAATAAATACTTATGTGAAAAAAATGTACAGACTTTCACTTATTTACTTTTATTTTACTATAGGACCTGGAATTTCATGGAGTTATGAGATTTTATTTTCAAGACAGAGCGGCTGGAAATTTTGCAACGAAGTGTATCCGAGTGTCTAGCACAGCTACAACTCAAGATGTGATAGAAACACTTGCGGAAAAATTCCGACCAGATATGCGAATGCTGTCATCCCCTAAATACTCACTTTATGAGGTTCATGTCAGTGGAGGTCAGTGTATCTTCTTTAGGACTTTTTCTTTGAGAGAGAACTGATTCGTGTGATTATATGATGGTATTCAGCTGTGAGAGTTACCTTATTTACAAAAATGTTTTTGATCCACAGAGACATATCATATTGCAAATTCACACCTTGAAAAAATTGCAACAAATTCATCAAATAAGAATATCAAGATTCAAGATGTAAAACTGTAAGAGTATTGTTTAGGGAGAAAATCTCCAACCACTACCTTCAATAGAGAACATCTTGGAGATTTTATCTGAGGAGACATTTTTAGGGAAATCTGCCCATGTTGCTGCTGTAAGCTTAGCTGTTGGTGTCCATCAATCCAAGCATTATTTATTTATGTTGCGTAGTGTAGTAATTAATAGCATTGCCCTAGAAAATTAACGGGAAGTTTTATCTGATTTGGAACATGCCACTAATATTCTGGTGGAAGTTGGGGTGAAAAAACATGGTCTACCAGCTTTCTTTAAGCTTCAGTTTATTTCTAGAACTCTTACTGCCTACAGACACTTTTTGGAAGCATCTCTCCACAGTAAGCTTTCTGTCGAATGTAAGAGCAAATAAGCCCTTGCTGAAAGCCTTTCCTCCCCGCAAGCCCCCTCCCCAAGATGAAATTTGATTTTTTTTTTTGTGGAAGAGTGATATTTTTTGTTCTATTTCAAACAGAACATTGAAATAACACATTCCTATCTGAAACCTTGTGTTGTCATATATCACTGATTGAAAAAGTTTTTTTATTATTTCACTTCTAATCTAATTACTTAATGTTTTCATTCACAGACATTTAGGAATAGATAAGAAAATATTTCATATCTATAACAATATTATAAAATAAAAGAAGCTTAAGCATGCTAACTCTGAAGAGAAAAAACTCCCTAATACAGGATTGGTAAAAATACTTGAAAAATATAGTCTTAAATGAGAGCAACTCAGAGAGGTCAGCATTAAAAAATACTGTTCAAAAACAAAATTTGAATAGAAACAGAAAGATTTCAGAAAAGTATTCAGGATATTAGTAATAGAAAAGAATAAGTGGACAGAAATAACTAAAAAGGCAAAGAAAGACAAAAATACAGATAAACCAAAAGACATATCACATTTATTAGAACAGGAAAGTTACATTGGCTTGGTGCTGAAGTCTTTCAGTGTCTCTTAATGTTGCCATCTTAAATATATTGATTGCAGATGAGTATATAGCAGAAGCTTGGAATTTAAATGCTTATGCAGCCAGTGCTCAGAATGTTAGTGTACAGAAGAAACTGGAAAGAGTTAAAAAGAAGAAAAATTATTGAAATGATACTACCAACATGCAAGCTAATTTCTACACTTACCGTATTGTAGTCCTTTGATTGGACTTGATGGTTTTTGTGTGTTTTTCGGTTTGGTGATTATGCGACTATTTACTGAGTCCTAATAAAATGAATAGTGACTAGAAGTAAAATTAGTCACACTAATTGGAATGAAGAGGGAAGTTATAAAAAAAGAGAACTTAACAAATATTATAAAGCTCAGGGCAGTGAATTTAACAAGAAACCTACTTTTGTGGGAGATAATGGTTAAATGAACATACATGTCTGTAAAAGCTGGTGGTTTTGGCAAAGATTATATAAAACAAATTTACCCAAAACACTGCAGGAGGAGAGCTTTTTAATAACAAATGGATTTTTAAATTTTAATTTCCAGATACTATTAAAAAAGGGAAGAGATAAATAGAAACTCCCTGTGAAGTTTCTCTGTCATGGTGGTTTTCTGTGGATTAAGCAGAAACATTTGGGAAACATTACAGATAGATATAAAAACTGTTATTTAATACATAGGAAATAGAATTCATTGTATATAGCTTTAAAAATACAAAATAATACAATATGATAGATTTATTGATCCAGTTCTGTGGATCATTTTTGTTCCCTGTCTTTCCATTGCCAAACTGGCGAAAAATGAAATGAAAGCTGAAATTAGAATTATCAGTTCATCAGCCTTGTGGTAAATGCAAAGGAAGGACATATTTGAGTTTAAAAATATAATGTAGACCTCAACATTATCTTGTAGAAACAGAAAGCATATTTGTACTGAGAACTCAGAAATATACATGTGCATATAAATTAATCAACTACTCCTGGTGTTAGATATAACAGTAGATTTCACATAGTATGTTTAACAGGTATGATATGTGGTTCTTTTAAAAAGTATCTTCTTCCTATTCCCTGTATTTCCTAGTTGTAATACACAAATACTTATATATCCTTAAATATATATTGAAATTATGTAGCTAGGGTAAGTTATTTTAAAACATTTTACCCAACTGTTTTGAAATATTTCTCTTCTAAAATACAGTTGGTGGAGATATTCACCTCTTCTGGGGTGCAGAGCAATTCAGAACCAATATGATTGTGAATTGTTCCTCTAATCATCCAAGAATGACTATTCGGGATAAACATTCAATGCTTCATTTTCTAGAAATACAAGTTCAGGCCTTAGTGTTCAGGCTTTAATGCGGTACTGAAATTGTAAATTGGGGGCACTTAAACAGTTTTAATCTATGAGTAAGATGTGTACTTTGTTTGGTTTTCCAGATTTTCTCAATGGCATTTCATAATAATGAGTATTATCTTTTTTGTATGTTTGCAAGAGATGGGCTTTGTAGAGGATTTCCATTCTGGATTTATTTTTCTTCTCATTCACAAGGCACCAAATTTTCTAAGACTTTTCTTACAGTATCTCCCTCCTCCCACTTTCATCTTTTGGAGAATTTTTTTATCTTAAAAATCTGCCTTGGTCTACTTTTCTCTTAAACTTTTAAACTGCACCTTTCTTTTCTGTTCTTAATCCCTTTTCATTAGCATCCTCTTTCTGCATTCTCCCTGTTCATTTGCTTACATTTTCTCCGCTTTTCTTTTTCTTGCCTTCTGTTGTAGCTCCATCTAGGGATTCACCAAGGCAGTTCCTAAAATGCAGATTGGTGAATGTAAACTTAACCAAACAATTGATTAATGTAAAAATTATATTGCCAAAACACAAGCATCTCTGGCCTCATTCTGGTGCAGAGGACACTTTACGGAAGTGACATATATTTGGTTGGGCATGAGGAAACATACTGTTCAGTAATTACAATGTCACGTCCACCTTATGACATTACCTTTCACCTTTTTCGGTTGTGATCAAAGGTCCCTCCAGCCTCACCTTTTCCACAGGACATCCCAGTTAAAACAGTCATGTTTCCAAACAGTGAGACAATGATATCTCTTGCCTATTTCTGGATTTGTTACGACAGGCATCTCAGTGGATCTAAGGATCTGCCAAAAAGTTAGATTCGCCAAACATTTGGGATTTCTAACCAATTTAGCTAGGCTCCTGGGACTTGCTGTACACCTGGAGAACCTATGTTTAGGAATCACTGAATTAGAGGTTTTTAATGTGTTGTTTTAGTTTACACCGAAATAGAACTTTGGAGGAGAATATAGAAAAATATAATCCTTTCATTACAGAATATTCACCCCCACAGACATATACCAGAATCAGAATCCTTTTATGGCAGTGGAAAAGAAGAAATGCCATCCTTTATTTATTTATTTACTACATTTCTGTCTCGCTCTCTCTCACCCTGAGGGGGACTCAGAGCAGCGTACAATATGGCAAGATTCAGTGCCGCATTATACATACAAAAGCAATATGTAACATTAACTAAAATCAGTAAACATATAAATACGAATTAAACCATGAAAATCACTGTACATAAAAACATCATAACATAAAACATATTGAACATTGCACTAGTCCCATAGTCATCATTTAACTGCTTCATTTATGCCTGTATAAATGTAGGTATTATACTGTAATTCTGTCATTCATCAAATGTCTGCTTGCACAGCCATGTTTTAAGTTTTTTCCTGAACCCCAGGAGGGCAGGGGTCGATCTATTCTCACTGGGCAAGGAGTTCCACAGCCGAAGGGGCACCACCGAGAAGGCCCTGTCTCTTATTCCCACCAGTCACACCTGCAAAGACGATGGGACCGAGAACAGGACCTCCCAGCAGATCTTAATACTCAAACTGGTTCATAAAGGAAGATATGTTCTGATAGGTAAACTGGGCAGGAATTGTTTAGGGTAGTAAAGGCTAAGGCCAACACTTTGAATTGTGCACTTGCTCTGAAGATTTCTAGTTTATGGACTCCCTCAGCAACTGTTACATCAGAATTTAAGAAGAGCCATGCTGCATCAAACAAAAGGCACATCTTGACCAATATGCTTTTCATATAGTAGCCAACCTATTGCCAGCAAGACTTTTCTTCCACTTTCCTTCAATGCAATAAGCAAATGTCTCATGTCCAGCAATTATTTTTTACCTTAATCAAAATCCTTTAATTAAATATAATTAATTAATTAAATAAATCCTTTAAGTGGGTTGTTGTAGGTTTTTTTCAGGCTATATAGCCTTGTTCTAGAGGCATTGTCTCCTGATGTTTTGCCTGCATCTATGGCAAGCATCCTCAGAGGTAGTGAGGTCTGTTGGAACTAGGAAAATTGGGTTTATATATCTGTGGAATGTCCAGGATGGGATAAAGAACTCTTGTCTGTTTGATCTAGGTGTGAATGTTTCAACTGACCACTTTAAACGTACCCTTGTTCCAAAACAGGAAAGGGATTATTAGCACATTTTCTGTCAGCTTTAAACAATCGCTGTGCATTAGTAAGAAGAAGCCTTAATGGCAAAGATCAGTTTTCTTTTCCACTTGCTTGGCTGATATTAGCTGATTATTGTTAAATCATTTAAGCTGTTTTTCCAAACAGATGATGCCTTGGTGTTGTATCCTGTCACTGACACTGTTTATTATTTAAGCTTCTGGATGAAACTGCCTGAAAGTCCTGTGCCAATTTCATTATTTAAGCTAAGAATGTGAATTTTCAGTGTTAATCAGTTTTCATCTCTGTGAGCTGGTTAAGATAAAGGAAATGAAATGGGGGAGGGCTAGATATGAGACCATGGAGTAGAAATGCCCCCCTCCCAGGAAAAACAGAAAGTTTCAGAGGAAAAAAGGGGGAAACATACAATCTTAGCTGACCTTAAAAACTAGATGTCATTTAGGAATACAAATGCATTACACATCAATTGAGTTAACACAAAAATTATAGTTTTTAATATATTAAAAGTATAGTTTATTCAGAAAAAATACCAATAGCATTTACATTTTCATATTTTGTCACAAATTTTACTAAAGGATCCTAAATAGTAAGGTGGTGCTTCTTAAACTGTATAATATGAATTTTTCCACCAATGTATCAGGGACTCGTAACATATATGGCATTGGCCACAGTGGTTTTATTTTTTTTTCCTGAAATCTGTCTAGAAACCAGTAACAGATTTCTTGTTAACCAAAATTGATTTGTAGACCACCACATTGGGTAGTATTGCTGTAAGAGCATCTGAGTTATAAGTTGAGTATCCCTTACATGAAAGGTTTGTGATAACAAGGTTTTATTTTTATTTGCATTGTGAAATATTTGCATATGTATAATAAGATACCCTAGAAATGAGATTGAATTCTGAACACAAAAATCAGTTGTGTTTCCTGAATACCTCATTATACACAGTAATTTTTAAAATAATTTTGTGCATGAAACATTCTTTGTGTACATCGAACTATCAGAAAGCAAAGATGTCACTCTTTTAGCCATCCATATGTAATTGGATTTTTTAGTTTTCTGGATTTTTGGATCATGAATACTAAGCCTATAGTAATAGTAGTAGTAGTAGTAGTAGTAGTAATAATAATATTTTTATTTCTTTCCCGCCTCTCCTCTTTCCTGCGGGTTATAGTACAATTAAAGCACATAAGCACAAATACACATATTAAAATGTATAGGGAATATCATTGGTTTTGCCAGATTTTGAGCAGGAGGTAATCATGTATTTATTTATTTATTGTATTTGTAAATCCTGAGAACAGAAACCATCAACTTTAATAAAAGAAAAGAAAATTACTTTTCTCTATCCACCTCCTCCCCCCCCCCCATGCCAAGTATATACCAAGCACCCATTCTCAAAATAAATTGAAACAAAGAACCCAGGACCAGTAATTGCAATGATGCGAGATACTGTGCGTCACAATTTCTCAACCAAGATTCCCTGGAACCTAAGGGCACTGCAGGAGGTCACTAGGGTTAATGAAAGTTTGTAATTTAAAAAAACCCTACTTCTTTTTTGATGATTATTAATTTTTTCACCAATATTGGGACTCCACAGAGACACTTTTCTCACTTAGCAGGAAACTTCACATTTTGTACAGCTATTAGCAATGCGTAGGAAATCGAATGACCTGACATTGGAATTGGACAATGCTTGAAAATAATGAGATGCTGATGATGTTGCTTTTTATTGCTTTTGTGATGTCGTATACTGTTTAATATTTTTTATCTATTATGTTTTATGTATACCAATTTGTTGGAAACCGCCTTGAGTCGCCAATTGGCTGAGAAAGGCGGTATACAAATACAATAAATAAATAAATACATGATGCCTGAACAGCTCTTGTTGGAGAAAACAATACTTTTAGGCTACTTTTAGTATTTTTTTTAAAATTCCAGAGATTCGTGTGGCTCTGTTCCTTAAATATAAAGGCATAGGTGTTTAGAGAATAGTGAGCACCTTGAATGCAAGCATGTGGGTGAGGACATGCATTGTCATGTTGATGTTGTCTTGCTTGCTGATCCACTGTTGCTAGTAATACAAGTTTTGTGTACTATAAACTGAAAACGATCTGATGTATGTAGTTTTCCACTGCTACTGAAGAACAATATTATGAAATATCAGTAACTCTTATGTATGCCTCTTTCCATTTCTTATTTTGAAGAAGAAAGAAGATTGGACATAGATGAGAAACCCTTAGTTGTTCAATTAAATTGGAACAAAGATGATCGAGAGGGAAGATTTGTACTTAAGAATGAAAATGATGCACTTCCTCCAAAGGTAAAAAATCAGTTTCAATATATCTTTCAAATATTATTGTAAGTCAATTTAAATATCCATAATAACCTTTCCATATATAGTTTAAAAGTTATCTAGAACGATATTTTAATTACATATGATGGAATTTTGAAAGACGCTTTCAATCGTATTTGTATAATGATGTGTTTCATCGGATAGTTTGAGTTGTTTTGTTGTAACTGTAGTGCTGAGAAAAGAGTGGAATTTTTTATCTATATTTGTTGTTGATTCAAGGCAGCTTACAAATTAAAATAAGTAAAATCATATAACTAAAATCATGTAAAAGGTAAAGGTTTCCCCTTGACATTAAGTCTAGTTGAGTCCGACTCGGGGGGTGGGTGTGGGTGGATGTTCATCTCAATTTCTAAACTGAAGAGCCGGTGTTGTCCATAGACATGTCTAGGTCATGTGGCCAGCATGATTGCACGGAGTGCCATTATCTTCCCCCCAAAGTGGTACAGATCGATCTGCTCACATGTTTTCGAATTTCTAGGTTGACAGAAGCCTAGGCTAACAACGGGAGCTTATCCCATCCGTGGATTAGAACCACCAACCTTCCGCTCAGCAAATTCTATAGCTTTGCGGTTTAACCCATTGCACCACCACAGCCCTTTTAAAATCATACAGATGTCAACATTAAAATAGAATTACACTATTAAGTTAAACTATATTGTATTAAAATTGAATTTTAATGCTCCAGTTGTTTCAGCTGTTGTAATTTGGAAAATAATCAGTGATAAACTGTTTAAAATGTTTAAAATATTGGTTTTAAGATACTATTTTGTTGGGTTGGATGAATAATTCCAGATAACGTATAGAGAACAATCACTAATGACAGATTTCATGTGGTATTTATATGTGTGATAAAACTATGTGAATGCTCATGTTTATGCTTTTTTCTTTCTTAAATTGGTCTTGCTTCCTAGAAAGCAAAATTTAGAACAATATGGTGAGGTTAACTCATTTAAAAAACCTCACACTGTTTTTGTTTTGATTTGAACATGAAGTATGTTGGCTTGATATTCATATTAGTTGAATTTGTCATTTTTCATATGTTACCAAATAATTTACTTTTCATAAAGTAGGAGATTAGAATAAAAATACAGAACTGAGATTTTTGGCATTTCTGTGTGTTCCTGCCTTCTTTGTGCTAACATGAAGATAATTTGCAAGTAAAAGGAGGCTTTTGAATTCCACACTTTTTAATCAGCATAAGATGCTGCACAAGTGTGTTTAATAAAAAAAATTAAAAGCCCAAGTCAGTGCATGTGCAACATTGTTTGGGCTTTGCCATATTTGTGTGCAACTGTTAAACCTGAATGAGCCTGGTAAAGTGGTACAGTCACATGCTTCATTTCCTTCTTCCAAGTAGTTCAAATGACTTTAATGTTGACTGAATCTCATGCTCAATCCAGGCAGGTCTTCTTAAAATGATAACTTTGTTTTAAAACAAGATTCTTGGTTCAGACATGATGCTAAGTCTCGATACAGGCAGGATTGTATAAAAGTAGCTAAAAAAACTTAGCTGAAATTGTATTCCAGGTTTTACTGGAAGAGGTGAAAGCACTAAGAGAGAGCCTGTCACTTAACTGGTTTCATTAAAGCTTGTGTGCATAATCCTAACCATGTTTTGCAATTATATATGAAGGAATGAATTAATATTTTATTTCATTTGATGACTAGCATTATGCAATTATATATGATTACATGGGTAACCAGTGAAGTGTAGTGGTTTGAGTATTGGACTAGTACATTGGGAACCAGGGTTAAATTCCCCTTCAGCCATGGAAACCCAATGGGTGATCTTTGGAAAGTCATAGTCTCTTAGTCATAGAGCCGCTGCAAACTAGCCTCCTGCGGGAGCAAACCTTGCCAGCACGTCCCTGACGTCATGAGACTGCGCCTCTCTCTCCGCCCCTTTCTCCGCCCCTTTCTCCATGCCAGAGTGGTTTTTCCTTTGGTAGGGCAGCATTGCCAGCGTATTCTCTCAGTTGAATTCTGCCAACTGAGAGAGTACGCTGGCAATGCTGCCCTAGCAAAGGAAAAACCACTCTGGCACGGAGAAAGAGGCTGAGAAAGGGGCGGGGCGAGAGGCGGAGTCTCATGACGTCAGGGACGTGCTGGCAAGGTTTGCTCCCGCAGGAGGCTAGTTTGCGACGGGTCATAGAAGACAAGGGCAAACAACCCTCTCAAAACAGATCTGCAAAGAAAATGCTGTTATCAGCATATCAGAAATTAATTGAAGACACACAGCATCAAATAATCACACGATTATCATACTTTATTTAGGAGAATGGATTGAATATTTGATCTGCTCTCAATCAAGAGTGCAAATTATCATTTTCTTCATTAAAAACATGTATGTTTCAGTCAAGATTCTATTATTATTATATTTATATTTATTTATACCCTGCTTTATCTCTCTTAAAGGAGACTCAAATTGGTTTACAATTAAGAGTTTGACTACATAATTTAAAATATACAAATATGCAAACATTAAAACAGAATTAAACATAACAGTATTAAAATTCACAGTTTAAATTAAATAAAACATATACAAAGCTGCAAATCATAGCACCCCCTGACTTGTTCTTTAAAATCCTTTTCTTTAAAAGCATGAATAAGAAGGTTTTAGCCTGCTGGAAGAAGGACAGGAGGAAAGAGGCCATTCTGGCTTCCCTGGGCAGGGAGTTCCAGAGTTAAGAGCCAGCCACTGTAAGAAGGCCCTTTCTCTTGTTTCCACCAATCGAGCATGAGATCAAGGTGGGATCAAGAAAGGGGCCTCTCTTGAACATCTCAGGGCCCAGGCAGATTCTTACAAGGGGAGGCAGTCAGCTGACAGGATTAACGTTTCATTAAATTGTAATAATAATTTTGATTTGTTTCAGAAGACTCAAAGCAATGGCCCTGAAAAGCAAGAGAAAGAGGGAGTGATCCAGAACTTCAAGCGAACTCTATCAAAGAAGGAAAAGAAAGAAAAAAAGAGGCGAGAAAAAGAAGCATTGCGACAAGCTTTAGACAATGATGGACCATTTCATGGGGATGATATGTAAGTCTCAATTAACTAGATAGGAGAATAGCTGATCTTGATATTGAATCTTTAATCGATAAATTAGGTGATAAATCTCCCAAAATTGAGATCAAGCTTTTTGTTATACTCCTTCATATGGGTGCTTTTGTCACATAATTTGCCTATTTGCACACCTGTAAAAAGATTCCTACTCAAATTCTGTTCCCTCCTCCACTTCTGATATCCCCCCCCCCCCCCGGCAGTCTTCATCCCACAACATTCCCAGGAGGTTTGCAGTCTCCTAGAGCAGATTTCCAGGATAAGTATTACATTGAAAGGGGGTAGCATCTCCTTGATCCCTATTATATGAATTGATCTCTCCATGCTTCTTTGTGTCCAAAATCTTGTATATATTTCTCTTTTTTCTCTTCATAAATATTACTATTTGATTGTGATTTAATTATACAAAATGTGTGTTTTAATTTTTTTCAATCAAATATTTTGGTGAGTTGTTTAAAGATTAAAGTTATTGTTGTTCTCAGACAATGATGGGCTTTTAAAAAGTATTCTTAAAGAATTTCAAGTATTTCTGATTCTTCCAATATTCAAGAATTTTAAAGGGTATCTTGTAAAATTTTCCTTAATCTATCTCTGTTTAGCTAACTGTTTGATTTGGTGAGGTAGGAGAACATGCACCTTATTCTGAGAAAAGTGTTGAAAAACATCTAACAATTGAGTTATAGGTACAAGTATAGGTAAAAGTACGCAATGTGCTATGATTATTCATTAAATTATTTTTATAATTATCCTTTAAATTATTTTTGGCAGTGAGAATTCCCGTCTTGCAGCAGAAGTGTACAAAGATATGCCTGAGACCAGTTTCACTCGTACAATATCCAATCCAGAAGTGGTAATGAAACGACGAAGACAGCAAAAATTAGAGAAAAGAATGCAAGAATTCAGGAGTTCTGATGGCCGGCCAGATTCTGGTAGCATTTTTGTTTCAAGTTGAGAAAATTAATTGGATGGGTTAGGTTTGCATATGCTTTAAAGTCTACTTTGGCTCTCATTGGACTTCCTAGACACAATTTAGGATACTCTTTTTGAATAAATCCCAATCCTAATGGAACTCAAAGCAAGTATCTTTGTAAAACTTGCATTGACTTCCATTATGAGATATCCCAAATAACATGTGACCTACATACCATGTTCTAACAACAGAGACAAGTATGATTTATTTATTTATTTACACTTGATTACACCTCGGCTTTCTCCCTGAGGGGACTCAAGGCAGCTAACAACCACATACATTGACCAACTTAAATAGAATGAATACAGTAATTGAAAACACAATTAAATAATACTGTGTGTCTTGTTAAAATAATTAAACATAATACAATTAAAAGGCATTTTAAAACACTCAGTCCCCTCAAAAATTCCACCCACAACCTCCCTGGCAGTGTGCCCCTTATTCTTCTCCAAATGCCTGCTGGCAGAGAAAGGTCAGAGACCTGTTTGCAGAAAGCCAGCAGGTATGGGGCCATCCTGGTCTCTCATGGGAGGGAGTTCCACAGTTTGGAAGCATCCACTGAAAAGGCTCTTTCCCATTCTGGATTTGTCCCAACAACACAGGATTTTGCTTTCTGAAGAGCTGTTTCTAACATGTTCTCTTGTTTTTGTTCTAACATATCCACTTATTTTTGTTTTATCTCACTTGAGGGCTTAGTGGAAAGCAAATGCCAATATTATTATGGGAAAAAAACATGATAATAAATTACAACACAAAAATTACAGTATTCAGGGAAAATATTATTAGTCGATTGTGACCATAGTGTAATAAACAATGAAGCAGCAGCAACCCAAATCCGATTCAACCTCAATCTCTTTCATAGACTCTCCTAAATAGTTTCTGAAAAGGCTAGCTGTGTTATTAGGTATTCTGTTGGGGTATCAATAAAGTTTTATTATATTATTATTAATAAAGACATAAAGTATGTTACAGAAATAGTCAGGTTGCAGTGTAATAGTCTTCAGTTTTGATATGTGATATATTTTTCATTCAGACAGGCCTTTGGCAACTGTTTGCTTGTTGAGGGAATGGCATTTAACTGGAAGTCCTCCATTCCTAACTCACATGATTTTAAGTTATTTTAAATTTAGTTGGTTTAGTGTGATCTATTTGTGTTTTAGCATTTTCATGTAGTTTTATCTGCTTCGTGTAAAATTCCTTGGATCCCAGTATTGAGGAAAGAGATACAATGTATTTAAAAAAGTATTTCTTAGTGCATGTTGGGTGACATTTTTTTTTAAAAAAAGATTCAAGTTCTTCAGGCTGTATAGAGCTCATAATTTATAATGTGTGTTAATATATAATTTGCGTTTTAGGTGGGACACTGAGGATTTATGCAGACAGTTTGAAGCCAAATATACCGTACAAGACAATCCTGCTGTCTACCACAGATACTGCTGATTTTGCTGTTATTGAAGCACTGGAGAAGTATGGTCTGGAAAAGGAAAATCCTAAGGATTACTGCATTGCTAGAGTGAGTAAATTCATTGAAGAAAATATTTCCAAAGTAGTTAGCTTTCAGATATCTCAATTGTTAGAGAGAATATTTCCTGCTTCTTGTTAATGTAATGATGATCGCCAAAATAAATATACTTATCTATTTGTGTAAAAGCATCTTATAGTACCTTAGAGACTAATTGAAAGAATAAAGTTGGTAGTGTAAGCTTTCATAGACTAAGTTGGCTTCCTCATTTGCATCAGAGGAAGTAGGAAGTAGACTACAGAATGCTTTATTTGTGTATTTCAAACATTTGTACTCCGTCCTTCTCAACTCCCAAGGGGGGGGGGGGGACTCAGGGCGGCTTACAATGCATTTAAAAAATTCTTAGCTTTAGATACTGATATTCCAGACTTAATACCGCTATTAAGTTAGCTTTTAAAATGTTTAAATGTGATCTAATACTTTTTTAAAAAAATGATTGCTTCATTGAACTGAAGATGTCTGTATAATTATTTGTGTGCCAAAACAAATGCTGACACATAATATTGAGTTTTCTTGAATAATATGAGAATATAAAAGGCAAAATAATATAATCGTATACATGATTCAAGAAATTGCATTATTTTGAATTTTCTTGTTTAATTTTGATATAGCCATGTGTTGGAGAGCTTGTTGAAGATAGACTGTTTGCCATCCATGGATAACCTATGTAGGGAAGGAGTATAGCATTCAGCAAACAGGAACAGATAAGTTCCTGTTGAATTTATTTGTAATTTATGATCTGGCTTACATGATAGAGTGGACTGTTTCCTCAAGGTCTTGAGATCTAGAAGTTTGCACTGTGTTCTTATATTTTTGTCAGAGTGCAATACAGTTTTATGCTCTCAAACATTATTCTTGTATTCATATTTATCATGATTTGGTACTATGCCTAAAGAGACAATGGAAGGAAGTATTCCTGAAAACTAAAAATATTTGGAGTATTGTTTGCATGTTGAGAGAAAACTAAAATAACAAGCGATTTCAACTGGATTATATTAGTTTCTTTACTTCCTACCTTGTAATACCTTCAAAACTGGAAACCAAACCGTAATTTGATGCACTTAGAATTTTGGATCTAATTTTGACTTATTCTAATAAGAACAGTAGCAGAGAGGATGGTAACTAGAAAGAAGGGGAGCCGAGAGGACATTGCCATCTTGTCCCCTGTGACATCAGCGCCCCTCCCCCAGCACCAACGGCCACTCTGGGGCCAGAATAAAGAAGGGGAGCCGGGAGGACATTGCCATCTTGTCCCCTGTGACATCAGCGCCCCTCCCCAACACCAACGGCCACTCTGGGGCCAGAATAAAGAAGGGGAGCCAGGAGGACATTGCCATCTTGTCCCCTGTGACATCAGCGCCCCTCCCCCAACACCAACGGCCACTCTGGGGCCAGAATAAAGAAGGGGAGCCAGGAGGACATTGCCATCTTGTCCCCTGTGACATCAGCCCCCCTCCCCCAGCACCAACGGCCACTCTGGGGCCAGAATAAAGAAGGGGAGCCGGGAGGACATTGCCATCTTGTCCCCTGTGACATCAGCGCCCCTCCCCCAACACCAACGGCCACTCTGGGGCCAGAATAAAGAAGGGGAGCCAGGAGGACATTGCCATCTTGTCCCCTGTGACATCAGCGCCCCTCCCCTAGCAATAATGTAATATTATGTAGTACTAGTGTTATGAATGATGTAATAGTACTATGCTAGTTATGTATTATGTAGTATGTTGTATGTACTTATGACTTGTAAGCCGCTCTGAGTCCCCTTCGGGGTGAGAAGGGCGACATATAAATGCCGTAAATAAATAAATAAATATTTTAGGGTAACTATTCAGTGGGTCCTCATACTTTATGTTTGCTTTAGGTAATGCTTCCTCCTGGTGCTCAGCATTCTGATGATAAAGGTGCTAAAGAATCTATTCTTGATGATGATGAGTGCCCACTTCAGATATTCAGGGAATGGCCTAGTGACAAAGGTAATTTTTGCTGTTCGGAACATTTAATACACAATGAGCATATTTAGACACACCAGGTTGTTAATACGCCATGAGTGAACCATACTCATGCCTCTAGCCTATTCTTGCACATGGTGTTTTGTCACTTGATCATCTTCAAATGATCAGATCATGATTTGTGTGATTGTTTTTTTTTACATTTCAGCTGATCTCTAGTATGGAGATTTAAGCAATTGCTGTATGTAAGTGATGGAGTTGTGCGCCCAAGGCTGCTCCAAATAAATGTGTGAAGAAGCAAGTGTTTTTTTAAATACAATATAGCTCAAAATTGGGGGTAATGATATAACATTTATTGTAATTAGATCTTGGTTTTTTGTAAGAATAACAAGGTTGGAGGGTCCCACTAAATATTGAAAGTACTTTGAGCCCCCTTCAGGTAGTTTTGGACTAGGGAGTATGTGTTGTATTCACTTACTTCACAGAGGGCACATGAGGACAAAATTTGATAATACGCTTTGTTCTGAGCTTTGAGGTTTAAATAAAATCTAAAGAAATGAAGCTCCAATTGATTACTCTTCGTGTGTCAGTACAATCCAAAATAGACATAAATTGAACATTTTTAGTTACATGCAGTTGACTTCCCTGAGAAGACTTGTAAATACCTGTTAAAAGGATGCACATTATGCATTAAAATATTTAAATTCTTGACTTTATCTTTACACTAAGAATACTGGATCTTGGAGAGTTGAAATTCTGTTGATTTGAACATCCTTTTTAATTCTAATCCAAATTTAATCATAAAATGGATAACTGCTATTTAGTGGGGAACAGTCTCTTCAGTATATTCAGTCATTTTCTATTTTATCCAACTGTAAAGCAAAGTATGACTGAATTAAAATGCTTTATTCATGTTTCTGTGGTTTAGGAATACTCGTTTTTCAGTTAAAAAGGCGGCCACCTGATTACGTCCCAAAGAAGTTGAAGAAACAGGTTGATGGAAAGCCATTAAAGGGGAAAGAAAGAGTTGACGGGTCTAGTTATGGCTCTTCCCTTCCTCCAGAGAAACTACCTTATCTTGTTGAATTAAGTCCAGGTAACTGTTTTGCTCTTCAAACATGGACTGATTTTAGAATTGCTTACTAATTATTCAGATTTTGTTTTGAAATTCCTCATCCTCCTTTATAGATCAGATTTGAAGCAAGAAATGGTATCATTATAATTTCTGAGTGTTTCTTTAATATTGCCAGAGAAAGCCATAAGAACATTTTCATAGCCAGGTAAAACTTTATTTTGATGTAGTTATATGAAACCACTGAATTTCCAAAAATAAAATAATACTATATTTCTTCAATTCTAAGAGACACTTTTTTCCTATATAAGCATCTTTAAAAATGGAGTGCGTCTCAGCTGTATCTTAGTTATTTTTGTTGGTGGTGATAATGAAATTAGAGTGCATCTTTCAATCAGTCACATCTTACAGTTGAAGAAACATGGTAGTTAAAATGAATTCTTGATACTTAGTTGCATGAACAGAAAAGCCTATTTCTGAGTTTGCATTTTGTACTGATTTTATTGTAGAAAGATATACTTTTACATAAGTTACACTGTTAGATTTGTTAACCTCATGTAATTCATTGGATAACAATTCACATTGTATTATATAAGGTAAATTCTGGTACAAAACTTTAGTGTGAGGTGTAAATCGTCCTTCTATGGAATATGTCTTCCACATGTGGTTGGGCATCTTTAGATCCAAACTATTACTTTCTTTTTAATAATGCCTTAGGAAAACTTAACTGGAGTATATGTAGTATTTCTGGTAGTCAAGATGTAATTATACTTGGAGATAATGCGTCATAAGCAAGAGGATAATTATCTGTTCCCAGAGGAGCTCTGCTTTTGTATTTTTACATACATACATATATGTATGTCACCAGTTAGAGTATTTCGACTTAGGAAATGAAACCAGTGCAGTGACTTATTTAGAAGCTTATTGGAAAGTTCTTTCTGACATTAAATTGGTGTATCTTTATGTCAGGAATGATTGATCCATTTTTAACTAATCAAAAAATCTGGCAGAATTACATATGTTATCAGACATTTTTCACAAGTGGCACACCATTTTGTAATGCACTGGCAGATACTTTGAATTGATTGTTGTTTGGAAGTCACTGCAGCATCCTGGTCTTTAATTTGGATTCAAAAGTCCACTGAAACAATATGGGTAACAGAGTGAGTTTGGACTGGTCTTTAGAACGTTTCCCTCATCCTTGTGAAGATAAAATTATGAGGAAGCGATGTGTAATGCCATGCTTTCTCGTTGTTGGAAAAAACTAAACTGTATTTAATCATGAAACAGTACAATGCACCATGGATTGTACTGGTTCTAAATGATAGGCTTGATTGTAAAATTGACAGGAAAGAATTAGATATCCTATAAATAACAAAGTAGACATGATATTACAGTTTGCTGTGACAGGAAACTATCTCCTTCTAATTAGGCAAGAAAAAATGACTTTCCTGTAGTATAATTTTTTTTCACTGTTTTCGGTTTAAAATACCGTATATTCCGGCATATAAGACGACTGGGCGTATAAGACGACCCCCAACTTTTCCAGTTAAAATATAGAGTTAAGACGACTCCCATGCATAAGACTACACCCGCGTATAAGACGACCCCTGACTTTTGAGAAGATTTTCTTGGGTTAAAAAGTAGTCTTATACGCCAGAATATACTGTACATCTGCTTAGGTTGCATAAATAAATGCGGTCAACACTGTGTTATCAGTTATGCTTGTTGTTCTGTTTCAGTGCACAGCTCCAGTTAATATTTCCTGTCTGTAAAGCCCAAAATGGTTTCAGCCTTGTGTACCTGAAGAACTGTGTTCTCTAGCATGATCCTTCTGAATAGTGAGATAATCTTCCAAGGCCTATCTCTTGAATGTGTCTGTTCTTTTAGGTAGAGAGGATGGAAGTTGAAAGGCTTTTCTGATGGTGGCTTTTTACATTGTGCCTATTCAGACTTGTTTAATTTTCTGACCCTCAAAGCTGCGAGTTTTTACCTCGTTCATCTAGAACTCTTTGTCTAGTTCTCTTCTATTACTGTGTAGTTATTTCAGTGCTTTTTCTTTTTTAATAATATTTTAATTCACTAGTACCATATGCTATAGAAATCTACAAATAGAAAAAAGACTGGGGGCATGAAAGCATAAAAAATAAGATGCTGCCAAAGATGTTTCCCGCCTAGATTGAGTATCATTTTTTTGAAGTGCTAGGGACTAGAAGGATTTTGGATTTCAGTCCCCATTCCCCCCAGATTTTTGAATACTCGTATATACACATATAATGAGATATCTTGGAGATGGGATCCAAGGCTTAACATGAAAGTAATTTCAGTTTCGTATACAACTTATAGAGTAAATGTAATTTTATACACAATAAATTTTAATAATTTTGTGACAGAGTTGATTCATCAGAAAGCAAAAGGCTCATTAACTCAGCCACTCGTGGGGAATTTTGTATTTTTTGATATTAGGAATTTTATGTAAAGGATGCTCAATCTATATTGAAACTGATTAGACTCATGAAGAAGGTGGGTGACTGGCTAAATTTTGTTAGTAATTCTATGGGTGCCTTGTTTTACTTAATAAAGTTTAAATTTGAGTGCTATTACAGGATGTTAAATATTTCTTGCAATGGGCTGTAGGTGGTTTTTAAAGATGCATACTCCATTCTAAAACTAAATTAAATTTTGTCAGGTTGAAGGAAGTAATCAGTAAATTTTAATGCTAGTTTTCATTGGTAGTAATTACAATATTTATTGGAGAGGTTAGATTTGTGTGTCACCTTTCTCACTCTTGGAGAAAGATGGCTTACAAATGCAACAAATAAATAACAATAGAAACAATACATGTTATGAATTAAGCGGTGTCATTGGTCACATCTGCACAAGACTACTTCAGTCAGTTTCAAATCAGTTTTGAAAAAAATGATTTTGTTGTACAGATGATTACATAGAGAATCCTGTAATCAGTTTGAGGTCTGGATAGTAGTGACACATCACAGAGCACTGATGCATATTAAGGGCTTTTTTGTGTGCTTTAGTGAGTGCTGTGGTTTAGCCCCGCTGTTTGGCGCTAACTTGTTTTACATATGCTTAACATAGTATGACTTGCGAATACAATATTAGTAGCATATAGCAGTGCTGTGGCTAAATGGACTAGATTAATCTCTTCACTGTCTTTCTCGTTGAAAACAATGTTTTGTTCAGCTGAGCCCTCAGCAACAGAGAGATGGATGAGTTGTACTTCTTACATTACAATATTATTACTACTAATAAAAAAAATATTTTAGCATTGTTTTTAATGGAATGACCAGTATACTACAATTTAACATATACAACTTATTTAGGGTATATAGGTAGCTGTGTTTTTTCCCCTTATACTAGAAACCACCTTTTGTCCTAGTTATGAGAGAAATGCGGGAAAGAAACCTGATAAAGGAATAATTTACAATAGTTCTCATTTTCTGAGTTAAAGAACCAAGGAGACCTCTTTTGATTTTCACACATACTGTTTCCCTTGGGAGTTTTGTGAAGAGTGATTCTCCATCTTCTAAAAACTAATTTTGTTGATGCCTCTAATGAGGAAACCTTATCTACGCATCTACTCCAACAAGAAGCCAAATTAACCACTCAAAACCTTATTTTCCTTTGCTTTCTTTTTCTATTCTACTGACTTTGTTGCTCTGAGTTTTAAATTGTTGTTTTATGTGCTATTGGTTTTACTTTTTTGTATTGTACTGTGTGTACATGTTATGCTTTGTTTTAGGCACCTTGTGTCATATGTAAGCCGCCCTGAGTCCCTTCGGGGAGATGGAGGCGGGGTACATGAATAAACTTGTTGTTGTTGTTGTTGTTATTCTAAAGTGAATGTATCACAAAAGAGTGAGGCATTCATAATTGTTACAGTACAGTTGCTTCCTATCATAAAGAATGTGCAATTTTGAATCTCTGAAATATTGAGATTATATAATATTTAGTACCTTGAATATGGTATTAATATTCCTTTATAGCATTGTGTGTATCAAAATAGATGAAGTGGAATGTGAAAGTATTTTTGGTTATAAATATGTAGACTGAGCATCCTGTAGTTATGGCAGGTATAGTAAAGTTGGCCCTCCTTCATATGTGATAGTAGACAATCCAGATTGTCTCCCTGTAGGGAAAACATCACATACAGTAGCATGCTGAGAGTGTGCTCTTCTTCCCTGTAAACATGTGACTATTATCTATGGGCAACCAAGATCATAGTAGGTATGCCATGGCAATAGTCCTCTGTGTCTTTGTTATTTGTATAATAGCATCCTGATACAGTTATAAAAAAATACATGAATGAAAGATACAAACGTTTGTGGAAATAATACTACAGTCTAATGTGAAGTATGTTTTAGCTTATATAGAATCAAAGATGATTTTCCACTTTGCTTTGTTACTTTTCTGTGCTTTCTTCTAGCAGCTTGTTTCCAGCTAATTAATCATATTAATCCATCCACAACACTCATGTCTGTAAACTCTATGCAGTTTGTAAAGTTGAAAGCATTAAAAGCACTGCATCCTTTTAAACTGAGTAAGTGTTGGTGGCTTACAATTTCACTCTTTCCTATCTTTTCTTTTCTCTGCCCTCCGCATGTTCTGCATGGTATCTGTTCTGCTGATGCTGCCTTCACCTGGGTCCTGTGCATGTGTTTTCTAACCCCAGGGAGAAGGAATCACTTTGCCTACTACAACTATCACACTTATGAAGGTAATCCTGTTACTTAATACTCCTCTTTCTCACTAGTCACTAAACTCTGTGTCAGCAAAAAAAAGACTTTTGTCTATTTTAAAAGGGGAAACATTTATTTCTGTCATGGTTGAACAGAAGGGAGGAAACATAATGTTATTACTAAAAGACAACAGAAAGTTCTTTATATTCTCCATCAGAAAAATAATGTTAAGTTGTTGTATTTATGCACTTTCAAGTCGTTAACTTTTGACAACTTCTAAGGATCTAAATACTGTAAAGGCACCATATCCCAATTAAGTTGAATCAACCCTGGTTAGTTCTTGGATGGGAACCACCAATGAATACTAGGTGCTGTAAGCTAAATTTCAGAGGAAGAAACTAGTAAAAAGCACTTCTCGGTATACCTTGCCTAAGAAAACTCTGTGAAATTGATGGGGCTAATGTATGCCAACAGATGGTTTGGATGAAAATCTACACATAAGGTGAACCCATCACAAGATTGTTCAGTGGGAATTTGTCTTTGCCTTCTTTTAAGAAAGAATGATTTGTCCAAGGTCATACAACAGATTCCTGTGTCAAAGCAGGGACTCAAACCCAGCTCTCCTAGCATGACACCACTCAAACTGATCTCAGTGTTAAATTACATACATCTTATAAGAATTATTGTGGTAAGTAGTGTGGCTAATCAGTATCAGAATCATCCTAAGTGCTCCTGATCTGAAGTTTAAATATCAGGCTTTAGGACTTGTATAGGATTTGCATTCTCTGATGTTTATTGTATGCAAATGAAATAAGCTATGTGCACATACAGAACATTTTGAAAATTAGCTGTTTCTCTGTCGTAATCTTGTGACCAGAGAAATTTTGGTACATGTGTATAACCATGCTCTTTGACTCTTTCTGGTTTTCACTCTTAATGGAAAATAGATGCATTTGTACTGTATATGTGAAATATATTGCTTTTAATAGGAACTGAATAGAAATGTTTTTAAAAACTTCCAATATTAATATCAGTAGATGATCTTTAAAAAGAAGAAAGAAACATAGTGGCAATGTGAGATACACACACACACATATAGGGATGTTTGTAAAATATCTCCTGCTGCTTAGATGGTATACTTTCACAAATGTATTATCTTTTGTTTGTGAGATAGACAGGGAAATAATTTTTGAATGGTGATAAGAAACTTAAATCTTAGCATCCAATAATCTCTTGATTAAAGAAAAAAACTTATCTCTTATTTCTACCAAACTTCTAGTTCATTATAGACAAAAGGGCCTGAAATATTGTACTTGGATTTGTTAAGCAGATAAGATTGTGGTGAAGGATGCAGATGCTTCTTCAGAATGCACAGTCTGTCAATTAGGGGAATGCCACCGTTTAGCTTTCTTTTGGGAGGAACAGCAAAGATTCATTATGAAATTGGGGAAAGGGTGAATCTCCCTTGCTCATCATTTTAGTAATTCTCCTAGTACAGGCAGTCGCTGAGTTACAAACACCCAACTTGCAAATGAGTCATAGTTAAGAATGGGGCTGAGTCAACAAGAAGTGAAAGAAATCTAACCCTCAGATCTTTTTCCACAACACACCATTTTTTCCCCAAAATCTAATTATCAAGGGGACAGAAAGTGAAATCTTCTGAGCAGGGGCACAGACAGCAAAACAAACACCACAGGATGTTAACCCCTTCCTATGCTATCCAAAACTAACTCACTGTGTGTGTGTGTGTGTGTGTGTGTGTGTGTGTTTGGAGTTACACTTAAAAATGCACCTGTTCTTACTTACATACTAATTCAACTTAAGAACAAACTTACAGAATTTATCTTGTTCATAACTTTGGGACTGTCTGTATTTGAGTTGCCTGCAATGGTCAGATAGAACAACTTGTTTAGAAAGCACAGTCTGTATAAATTTATGGCTACAATACTAGAGTGCAGAACAGTAGTCTTAAGTTTATTCTTGGGTAGGAATATAATCATTGATTCTCTTACTGGTGGTGGAAACTAAAGGTAAAGAGGGGCTGTGTTGTTTTTAACAAGAAAAGTATTTGTGCCTAAGAAGAAGTAGGGATCTGTTACATCTGTAAGTTTTCAAATGTTCATAGCATTATTTTAAAATTATGAAGTGTATTGTATTTTTTATCCCTTACACTGCAGGTGGTGTGGTAGAAATGAGATTTGATTTTGGAACCTAGCTTTTATTAACTTAGGTTTAATATGCAATTGACAAATCTTAGAGATAGGTATTTTGTTGTTGGATAGTTACCTAACCAGTAAGAGCTGGGTTCCCCAAACTTTCTGAGCGGAGAGACCTGTTGTGAGTCTGGACTTTAATTGTGTGCATGCGTACTGTGCGTGTGTGGCGTGCGTCGTCCATGCTGCACATCCGCTTCAATCTAAATAAGCTTCAGCACATAGGTATAGAGGGAATTGCCTTTTGGATACAACCTTAATCATCATCAACCAGAGTCTGCAATATTCAGGGTTGATATGCTTAGCCCAAATGCATCTGGAGGTCACCAGGTTTGAGGCTACTGTAGTGCATAAGAGACTACCAAGAAACTGTCAATTTTCCTTCTCCAGGCTGATGCTTGTTTAGACTAGAACTGAAATTGTAGTCGGAAGAAATGATACATTTGGTGAAGTACAAATGCATAGGTGTGCTCATCCTTTCCTTATATTTTTGAGAGTGGAACTCTGCACATAGGAAAATCTACTACTGATTGCAGTATGGGGACAGTTGTCACATACTGTTAATGGTCGGATACTCACTAAAGTTCCACAACACTAGTGTTTTTTAAAAAATGTATACTGACTTATTCAAATACAGATCCCTTAGAATTCTATACAGAATTGGATAGAGACCTTTCCTTCCATGAATGGAGGTGGCTGGCGGCCAGTGGAGGCTTCCTACTAGAGGAACACTTTTCCTGCCAATTTTGTCCGTGGAACCCTCAGTGGCATTCCAGTATTGTTTAGGACAGTATTTTCATCCTCACTTGCAGGAAGAAAAAAATGGGGAAATCACACCCTTTGCTGAAACAATAGCGTCTTTGCTGAAACAATAGCGTGTGTACGTCTTTCAGTGTCTCATTAAAGAGTACTAAGCCTCCTAGAGGTGTTATTTTATAATGTAATGTTACCATGTGTGTTTATGCCATACTTTCATTTGTTGTGCAAATACAATAGTCTGTTCTTATTTACAGATGGTTCTGACTCCAGAGATAAACCAAAGCTTTATCGTTTGCAGTTAAGTGTGACAGAAGTTGGTACAGAAAAATTTGATGAAAACTCCATTCAGGTGAGAAATCTTGAAGTAAATAAACACTTTTAGAGATATCATAAGCCATGATGGAACCAGAGGGTGGTGGGTCGCTTCCTCCTTAAGATCCAAAGATACTCATTGTAGTTTGATAATTCTTTTCATTGCTGGACTTTGTCGTTTCTTTTGTAACAGAAGTAAAAAAAAAATAAAATGTAATTCAGTTTGTATTTTTTTCTGGAAAATGTACTTTAAATACATGCAATGTGATTTTTAATGCCAAGCCATGCTTTGCTTACTACCAACCTTTTATGGCATTTGAACATTTTCCTGAATGTGTCGTTCAGGCCATGGCATGTGTTAGTATGACATTCAGTTTTTTATTGAAACCAATATATTTTTGAACATCTTGATGTTGCTTTTTCTGTTTTTGAATTTTGAGCATTTATATTTACAGTTGTTTGGTCCAGGAATTCAGCCTCATCACTGTGACCTTACTAATATGGATGGAGTTGTTACAGTTACCCCAAGAAACATTGATGCTGAGACTTATGTAGAAGGTCAGCGAATCTCAGAGACCACTATGCTGCAAAGTGGTATGAAAGTTCAGTTTGGGACCTCTCATGTATTTAAATTTGTGGATCCTGTTCAAGATCACATTCCTAAAGGACGCTTGGATGCTGGTCACATGGTCAAAAGTTCACGAATCAAAGCTGGGTAAATCATAGTTTTCAAGCAATAATCCCAAATTTAGGAAATCCTTTAAGAAGTATTAATGATATAAATTAAATAACATAGTCATGTGATAATGTATTCATTAAGTGTTTGGTGCTCTTGCTCCACCATGTGAGCTCTTTTGGAATAGGCTTCTGTTTTATTAGTGAATACTAATTTTATGTTGAACTAGCAGAAGAGCAGTAATCAACGCAACCAAACAGGCATGTCAAGTTACACTTAAAAAAACCAAAAATAATAATAATAAGCATTTAAAGTCCTTATATTTTTATTGTTTTTATGTTTTTATAACAAAGCTATAATAAAAATACAAAAGTTACAATTTTGTTCATAGTTAATGCACTCTTTTGTATCTAATATTTTGGAATAAGCGTCTAAAATGATCAGAGATCACAAGTAACAATAAAAAATCAAATTATGACTGGAATTTAGTAGGATGTGATTGAGCAAAAATACTGTTTTCCTAATTTGGCAAAGGGTATACCCGTTTGTATTTACTGGGGCTTTAAATTTAGTATTACTAATGAGATCTAGAATATAGTTGTCAAGCAATACTAGCAATTATTTTGAAAGCATGTTTTTAAAGGATTTTTGCATACTATGTCTAGTTGCTTAAGCACAGCAGAACCAGTAAATAAATAATATAGGATAATGTCAAAAAGATATAGAATAAAATACTTCATTTCCTTTGTATGAGAGCCACTTCCTTGTATTCCTTCCTCTCCACCATTGGTGGGCAGTTTATAGTCCAGAAGCCTCAAGCAAACCATTCTTTTTTTTATAATGGCCAAATTTGCGATGTTTGCCAAAATCTGCACATATTTTTCTTTGAAGCAAAATATAAAAGAAACAGATACTTTGTTTTGAATGAGCATTATGCTCCCCACACCTTTTATATCAAAAATTGCTCATATCCATCCTCACACTTGTGGGCTCTCACAGCAGGTATGACAAAGATCAAAAAGACCCTGTAACTAGCAATCTGAGGAGTTCGTTTATTTAAAATATTTCTATACATCATTTCCATAAGAAGTCCAAGGTAGCTAATATCAGCAGGAACCATTTAAAAACAAAAAAACAGATAATTTTTATATCTTTTTAAGCACATTATTTTAATGATCTTTCTGCACTGTCATTCTAGGGAATTAAACATTAAATTTATATTTATGCATATTAAATATATTGTACATTTGCAGTTAATAAAAATACTAAATTATTGAACATAACATTGCTATGCTGTTATGTTTCTATTAATTGCATGTCCCTAATCACCAAGTTCTTGAATGTATGTTGCTTTCTCAGAGCTGTGCAAGAAACTACATTTGATTTGGAGGGAGACATACATAGTGGAACAGGATTATCTACAAGCAAGGTAACCGACTGTCAGTAAACTTAAATCTCCGATAAACATCTATAATTGTACAATTCATACTTCAGATTATTAAAATGTAATACACACTGAAATTTTAGGGATGGCTCAAAGAAAATCCACAATTGGGTTTTATCCTATGTACCAATCAAACAGTTAGGTTTTATCCTTATGTACCAATCCCATGTTTCTTTCAGTTGTGGTGGTTGGGCCGGTTCCCTTCTTACAGTTTTCCCCCCTATTTTACCATACTAACTGGACATGGTTGCCCTTCCTTGACAATCTTAAAGAAAATTAGTTAATATTATAAGTGTGCCTATGACTAAAAATAGAGAAAAACGCTGGAGAGAATGAGGTTGCTGAAGAAGGGGAAATAACAGCAGAAAAATAAAATAAGGACTATTCCCTCACTTTAGTGGCAGAGCAGCTGATCAGGGTATGGGCAAAAATAAATAATTTTTCCATGAAGATGGCTGCCCAACCCATTTATCTGTGAAGAGGACAGAAAAGAGGAATTAAGAAAAGTTTTTCTTTTCCTGAACGGAGTGCTTTCCTTTCCTGAAGCAAGAGTGAAGCATAACAGGAAATTCTATGGCTAACAAAAGTGGTTTGCTTAGTGCTTAAAGTGTAATACAAGGATTTAACTAGAGAAAAGTTGAACCCTAAGCACTGGGTAAGCCATAATGGGTAAACTAATTTTTTGTTATGTGCATAAGTCCCAGGCTTGAGTGTTGCATATGAGAAGAGAATGGAAGTCCCTGTTCTTGAATTTAGTGTGATAATTTCATGTATTGTCCAAATTTGATTCTTTGGTTTGTTTAAAAATGAGATGGCAATTTCAGCTTCCATTTCCATTCACTTTGACTGTGCAGACTGGAGCAGATGGAAGTTTCTGTCCAAGAATATCTGGGGCTGTCCACCTCTGGGCCCATTTGGTTAATGAAAACAAGCCATCATCCAATTGTGGCTTTGGGGCTTTATTCTCAACCGTACTTCATATAAATTACATTTTACTGGGTTCAGACCCCATGGCAGTCGTTGCTACCTTAAAATGAGGAGGAAGAGGATTTAACGTGTGAAAGAAGGGTGTTGAGAGCTGTGGGAAACCAAGGCTTACATCAATTGCTGATTTCATTTTGAATGATCTAGGAAATTTCATACCTTGCAAAAAGCATGCTAACCATTACTAATCTCAATGAAGAAGTTAATGGTAAATGTGCTGGTGTTTTTTGAGGTGGTGGGGAAAGACTTATTAAGATTGACAGTTTGAGGGAATTATTGTAATGCAAACTGATCTCCTTTTATACTTTTCTCATCTATTGTTTTGTTTGGAAATCAATATCGAATGCACATTATGACAAGTACTTCTCATTTTGTGTGGAACAGAGCACCAATAGATTGGACAGAGACAGAATGTCAACATCCAGCACAGCTGAACGAGGCATGGTGAAACCAATGATAAGAATAGAACAGCAGCAAGATTATCGCAGACAGGATGGCAGGTATGAGTGGAACCTTTTAATTTCCAAGTTCTTAAACATTACTTAAAAATTACACCAGGCTCATAAAATGTGAATGTGATAGGGAAATGTGCAACTTTTGTTATGGAGAAGACTATTTAACAGTAAAAGAATACTAGCATGCTTTGAAAACAAACTTAAAGCTACTGAAAGTGATAATCTCCAGCACATTTCCCCAACAGGATGCATGTTTTTATTCATGGTTTCCTCACTGAGTGAGGGTCCAGTTTACATGTTGGGATAAAAAATGTACTGGTATGCCTGCAGGGGGCAGGAATGGTACAGGTTGAGCACCCCTTTATCCATAACTCCGAAATCAAAAATATTCTAAAAATGTCCATATGAGTTGCTGAAATAATGACACCTTTGCTTTTTGATTGTTCAGTACACACACATTTTGTTTCATGCACTAAATCATGAAATGCATTGTATAAAAATACCTTTATCCTATGTGTCTTATACACAAGACATAAACGTATTTTATGTTTCACCTTGGGAGCTATTCCCAACATATCACATTATGTACATATATCAAAATAAAGACATTCCAGAATCTGAAATCTAAAACACTTCTGGCCTCATGCATTTTGTCAACCTGCAATGCAGTAGTTTAAGAGATTTGGAGTGAATCCATTTTGTTCATCTCCCATTCAAAAACACATCTGAACATGGTGAAAGGGCGGTTTCCTCCAATTCTGAGTTCACAATTGAAAAACAAAATTATAGTTACAGTAAATATTGATGTTCTGTGTGATTTTTAAAAGAGAAAATTGTTTAAATGAATTTAAGACATAAATTTATTTAGACTTCAAATCTTGTAATTTGCAAGACCAGCATACTGTCTTTCCACAAACAAAATGGAATTCAAGGTGGCTCACAATATCAGAGGCAAATTGGATCCCACTTTTGAATGAACCTGATTTTCTAGATTCAGCTCAAGTGGGTATAGCTTTTTGCGCTAAAACTGCCTTGACCGCTCTGTGAGATTACCTGTGATGGCATAGAGAAAAGAATTTGTTCTTATTGATACCTCTGAACTTACAGCTTTCAATTCTGTCAGCCATATTATCCTTCTGGCAAGATTGAATGAATTGGGAGCAAGCTTTACTCTTGATTTACACTGGTTCCACATATTTGAATTATCATTTCCAAAAGCTGGCATGATTTGAAGTTCACATTTGAGGCCTTGAAAGGTTGTGTCTTGTTCCTCCATGCTATTTGTCATTACTGCTGAGAGATGGCATATAAAATACATGAAACCTAGCATTTGGGTGCTTTTTCTTGTATTAAGCTATGGTTGAAGCTGGCTTTTCATGCCAAAAATTCTTGTATTTTGAATTGTTAGATAAAACATTATCGTGAAGATTTTAAAACAACTCTTTATACCAGTGGTCCCCAACCTTTTCCTTCCTTCCTTCTTTCTTTCTTTCTTTCTTTCTTTCTTTCTTTCTTTCTTTCTTTCTTTCTTTGACCAGGGACCACTTTGATTTTTTTGTTATTAGCAGGGACCACAAGGTTCAAGAATAATAAACTGTGTTAATCTAAAAATAAACTTTAATCAAAACATTTAACTTATTATTTAAACTTAACAGTAACATGCATCAAGGGTACTATTATAATACGTAAAAAATTTTAATAAAAAATTAAATTCAGTTTGCATCAATGTGATTTTTGAGCTTGCATCTTCTTGACAAGCTGGGTAATACTGGGGCTAATATTAATTGCTCAAGGAAGCAGGAAGGAGGGGGAAAGGAAGGGGGAAGGAGGGAAGCAAGGAGGGAGCGGAGTGAGTGAGTAGGAGAATGGGGCCAAGGAAGGAAGGAAGCAGAGAAGGAAGCAAGCAATAAGGCCTGGAGGGAGAGAAGGAAGGACGGGATGGTGGGAAGAAAATAGGGAGGGTAGGAAGGAAAGAAAGTAAGAAGGAGGGAAACAGTCAGGTCTCACCCAGGTTGCCAGGGCTCCCTTGCTCTGGCCTTTTCCGTCTCCTGCATTTTGCGGAGGAGGTGCACCTAGAGTTCAGGCAGGAAGAGGCAGGCTCTGCGCAAAGGACTCCTCTTCCTCCTTCTTTTTTTCTGCTCCTTTCTGCTGTTTCCCCTTCTCACCTTTCCTGGTGCAGAGCTGCTGTCAGCTTTGCTCTAAAAGTCAGCCATGGTAAATCAGGATACCTTTTGCTTTGTAAATACAGTTTGCATCACACTATGAAATTGAACTGCCCTGGCTCAGTGCGATGGCATCCTGGGAGTTGTATTTTACAAGGTCTTCGCTTTGTGGACCATATTTTAGTTCTTGCAGACCTCTAGTGATCCACGGACAACAGGTTGGGAACCACTGCTTTATATGTTATCTATGCAAGATCTTTTATATTTTGTTTTTAAAAACCCTTTAACCTAGATATACAATTCAGGGATCATAATCTTTTTATCATTATCTAAAGCTGCTATCACCTACATAGATATTTTTCTCTATTGTGTTGAAGCAACACCTGCAGACCTAGTATAAAGCTGGGCAACTAACGTCGAATTCTTTTTTGACATTGTTTTGTGTATACGCAACAAGAGCCATTTACAGCTGTTGACAGGTTGCCTCGATGAGTATATTGTGCACTGCTAACTCATTAATAATGCAGATCTTTAGTTCATGCCTGTATTGTGATCTCTTTTGTTGATAGTCAAGTATAACCTGAGGGTGAATCTAACAAGAACAGGGGAGAAGCTGTATTTTTCCATTCCTGTATTTTTTTAGTCACATGAACAGAAATGTTGTTTATGGTCTCAAAACCTTTGGACAAATTTGTATCTTTGGAAAATGGAATTCATTTTTACTCTTTGGATTGGACTTCTGAAGATTTGCTTTCTGTCTTTAGACCTCAAGATCTGCATGGACCTGAATTAATACTACCAGCAAGCATTGAATTCAGAGAAACCTGTAAGTATTATCATATCATACGAAAACAAACAAACAAGTAGATATGTTTGTATGTTTTGTAATTTTTCTTTTTACATGATAGCTACACCAAATGCATATATTGGTGAAAAAATGCACTGGGTATATATTTTTTTCAAATCTGTTTCTACCCCCTTTCAAAGCTAATAAAATGCCACAAAATTATTCCATAATTCCAAAGGAGAAAGTCTATTGCTAGCTCTGTAACATTGTTTCAGGCATTGGAGTGTGGGATACTTCCTCGAGCGAGGTGATTTTCTGCTAGTTTTGATTAAAGTTCAAGTTTAAAGATAAAACTTTTGAACGGTGTTGGTACTATGTTCCATGGAATGCATTCTTGAAAGTGACACAATGCTTACTTTAAAGGAATACAATTGTAAATAAATGTACATGTTGAAATGGTAAAACAGTGCCATTAAACTGCAATAGTTCAGGTGTAAATACTGTCTTAACTGCGTTGCCAAGACAAGGTAAGTTGAATTTCACTTACAGGATCAGAAAGAATTTGATAGTGGCCATTTTTATTAATAGCCTGGTTTTCCTTCTGTTTTTTTGCCCTGCACTGTTGCCCTGAGTATGCACTGTGTTGTCTTTGTGGGTAGAGAGATAAAATTTCAGTTGAGATGTCAACATTAGCTAGATTTTTCTGGTGGGTATAATAATGGGAGAAAGTATTTTCTGTTGTTTTTAGGAATTCAGAACATAATGTATATATCATAATTAATGGAGCACTTCCACCCACAGTTCTCTTTAGTATCTCTGTCCTTAGCAATCACAAATATGGGGTGGTAATGATGTGGGTTGGACTGATATTTCCCTTCTACTTTAGGACCTGCGCTGTTCTGAGAGAAATACAGCATGTAACAAATGTTGTAGTATATACAAGATGGGTTGTAATGTCCATTTTGGGAGAAAAATACTAGCTACTTCTTCAGATCTGCTTTAATTTGCAAGGCCAACATTCAACTAAACTATCTGCTAAATATTATTACCAATCAAAAGCTTTGATACATTTGAAGTGGCTAGATATCCAGTTAAAAGCTAGTACATTTCCGGAATCGGGAACAGTTTTCACTAGGATTTGTCTGTTAGTACATTGATATGTCTTTGCTAGGTTTTTGCTGTAATTACTAGAATGGTGAAATAGGTGATATCTGTGAAAAAGATACATGTTTATTTTAGATGCTTTCCATATCTTGCTCCAAGTACTTTGAAGTTAATCACCAATATATCTGTAACTACAACATGTTATTTAATATTTAGCAATTTACCATTATAATTTTATGGATCGTTTTGCTCTAAATTTATTAACATTTTAACAGTTTTTTTTCTGATCAGGTTTACCAAAAGATAGGCAATGCTTTTCTGATTGTGGTTATTGCTCTTTGTTTTTTTCTGCAGCGGAAGATGCCTTTTTGTCTGCCATTATAAATTACACAAATAGTTCTACAGTTCATTTTAAGCTGTCCCCTACTTATGTTTTGTACATGACATGTCGGTATGTATTGTCGAGCCAGTATAGACCTGACATCAGTCCTGCTGAACGCACTCACAAAGTCATTGCAATAGTCAACAAGATGGTGAGCATGATGGAAGGAGTTATACAGGTGAGTTTTAGTCTCAAGTACTTACCATGTATTACTTTTTTAAGTTTGCTTTTTTTAAAGTTTGCTTTTCAGAATTATTTACATGTGGACTACAGTTGCCTTCACAGGACCTGTGTGCCATTGGGCATAATATAATTTATAATGTTGTGTGAAATAATGCCTCAGTTGCAGCAGAGAAACCTTGAAGGTCTTCTAATAAATGTAAAAACTATGTCCCTGGATTTTAAATAAGCAGAGAGTGATTTGTATAATATTACATGTTTCTGAGATGGTGAATAGGAGATTCACAGGCTTAAATAAGGGCTGCACTCAAAATATGTAATTTTTATACAGTGCACTAGTTTCATGCAGGTTGTGTATCCCTTATCCAAAATGCTTGAGACCAGAAGTGTTTTGAACTTTGTAGTTTTATAAAATTTTGATATATATGTATTTGCATATATGTACATAATGAGATATCTTGGAAATGGCACTGAAATCCAAACATGAAATTATTTATCTACTACACATAGCTTGGAGATAGTTTTATACAAAATTTTAATTTTGTTCATGAAACAAAGTTTGTGTACATAAGCCATCAGAAAGCAGAGGTGCCACTATCCTAAACACCCATGTGAATTTGGAAGTATTTTTGATTTTGGAATACCAGATAAAGAATGCTCAACCTGTGTTCTGTTTCATACTGTCTCCATCACAAAGTGTATTAGAATTTGATGCTTAAAAAAAAAAAAAGAATTGAACTTCACACTACCTTTCCTTTGGGGTTATTTTTATCCTCCAGAAGAAGTCTGAGGTAGATCTCAGTCCTTTTTATAATCAGAAAGACTATTTCCATTTGTAATGAGGAACTCTCTGGACCTAACCCATGACTTTTCATATGTCCCATGTAGTTTTTAATTGTAAATAATTAGTACCATAGTTTGTATGTCACACAGGTTTTTTTTGATGTTCTGTGTTTGAGAAAGAAATCATTTAATTTGTTTCTGTATATGTTTGCCATTAAAGCAATCTATGTATTTTAATGTTCCACTTTTATGTTCTTTTAAATTGTCCTCTCTTTGTCTTGCATGTTTTCCTCTTATCTTAGTATTTCTATGGAATTGGGACATACTTCTGCATAGCAGATACTCCCTGAATGTTTTGTGGAGCTCCCACACAGAAGCCAGTAGAGCCCTCCCTGTGCTGGGTAGTTTTCTGTAGCATGCCATTCATTTTGAGGCCATGTCTTCCACAAGTCTTTCAACATCTTTTAATATTTCTAGATAACTTGTGGGAAAGTTGAAATAGAAAAATATGTAGAAACGGCAAGAACATAGATGTTTGTAAGGAGTGTAGTCTTAGTGGAGTCAGTTATGGCTAAATGTCTCACCAAGTTTAATTGTGTCATGAGGTTAAGCAGGATTGCCTTTTGTCTACATTACAACCTGTTCATTACATGTTGGGTTATTATGATTAAAACATGTTTTCCATATTTAAGATCAAAAAGGAATAAAATGTTTTTTATATCAGTCATGTGTTAAAGAATTTCAAACCATATTCTGGTTTTGTTATTGTTGAGCCACAGCTATAGACTTGTGATTTAATGAATCAGTTGGATCACTTTGTGCCATCTTAACTAGAAATCACCAGGTGGGACAGTTGATTGAGTTTCTTTATAGTCAGAATCAACACTACAGAATGATTGACACTGTAGTAGCAATAGGTTTCAGGATATTATCTTCATCATTTTAAGAAAAACATATTTTTGGAGATGCACGCACCAGTGCAGTAAGCAAGAGGTCACCCTTGTTGGTCTCTTTGAGAAGGAGACCACAAGCCTGGACACGGAAGGGGGAGTTACAGGCAATATAAGGCCTCAGTGCAGTATTAGTGCTTCTGGTCTCTTTGGGGCTGGGTAGGAATTTTCTTCCACTCCTACCCTACACTATAACTAGGGGCCATGGGGTTATTGGCTATGAGTGGTGTTGATAAACACACTTCCATTTGGCATGAATTGAGGGATAAATATATGGATTCTTCCCTCATTTGACTCCCTTTTGGTGTAGGGTGGAGATCTAGAGCGGCCTCTCTAAGGTCCCGTGACTTAGGATTGGGAATACACTCTGCCCTTAAGGCATCTCCAGGGGATTGCTCTCATTTATAACGTCGTGTGTCTTATGTGAGAGTGTCCTAAGTTGCCTTACAGCGAATAAGCAGCTGAGGAGCAACCCAGGTATGGGATTGTCCGCAAAAGTCAGATGTTTTGCCCAAGAGAAGGCTAAGGCAGTAGTCAAGGGTGGACACCTGGCCTCAGCTGGATCCTCATCAAGTTGCCCCCCTCTTCTTTCTTCCAAGCATGTTGATCCAAATAGTTTTAGCTTAATAAATTTGCCCTACTGTAACCAGTATTTCTGTATCTGGTGTCTTGATTTCATGGTAGCTCATCAAACGGGATGTAGTTATTTATATATAGTTTAAAGTAATGTCCAGTGGTTGCTTGTTAACTCAGGGAGGGTGGCTAAACAATTTTGGCTAAAGTAGTAATAATACAAGGCAATTTAGGATGATTTTAATTAATAGTAGTGATGAATGTTTTCACAGATTTTATTAAAACACCACTCTTTAAAAATTTAACATTTTAATTAGATTTACAGGTTTAAGTGTTTTTCTTTCTCTAATGTGTAGCTGTCAGAGATCCTATAGTGCTACTGCCTGTAGCACAAAATCATGCAGTAATGGCACCATAACTTAGAAAATTAGTAGAACATGGTTGCAATTATATTACTTTAATCCAGTCATCTTCTTGTTTGTAAGGAATTACTTGCAAGTGCAGATTAAAGATATTATTCTTGTACTAAAAAAAAAAATGTTAAAGCAGAGAGATTGTACGTGCTTGATAATTCTCTTTTTAAAAAGACCCAATAGTGTTATGTGACTGACAATGTGATGCAGGGTTGGTTTTTTAGAGGAAGAGAAGGCTGTCCTGGCTTCTGTGGGTAAATACTGCTCTGTGCAGAATTATGCAGACAGTATTAATGTTCTTGCATAGAATGATTGGAGGAGATGCCCAAGCTTCCTCCAGATTAACATTTTATATTCCCCAACAGACCCCCCCCCCCCTTATAAATTAAAAAAACAAGCCTAACCAGTTACAGTACGTCCCCTGGTGAAATGTTTAAATGTGACTAAGCATTAAGTCTTGTGCCTTCATATTTAGTGTTTTATTTCTAAAACTACCATGATTGTTCACAAGTTTCTTTCTTCTGTTTGATTTCCTTCGTTCGTTTTTCTCCAGGAGGTAGACCAGGTTGATCAGGTAGGATATATTGCTGGGAACTGATCCTAGCTGTATTGGCTTAGCTCAGTTTCTCATGCTGCTTCCATGTAAATATAAGATATTTCTGCAGCTGGACTGAACATAACACTCATTCAGCACCTGGAACATGCAGTACTAAAATCTTTTTTGACTGCGCAAACTATCAGCATTCCATAACTTCTGCTTAATGCACTTCAATACAGAGGCATAATGACAAAAGTTCTTTTTCTTCCCTTTTTTGTTTTGTTTTGTTTCGTTCGTGGTTCTTTTCTTTGGATCTCATCTAGGGTTGCCTGGCCTAGCACCTGTGGTCGGGAAATGGTGAAATAGTTCAGTACTAGATACTGGTTGCTTGGTATCAAAGCCAATAATGTAACAGTATCTGGGTTGCAATGGGCATTAGTGAACATTTGCTTGTGCAGATACAGATTACCAGATAATGCATACATCTATGCTTTCAGCATTCCATGACAACACGCTAACTCCATTTCACTGATAGCATTTGGAATATTTAACTATAGTTAAAAATAAAATTTAAAAGTTGCAATGTGTCCAGATTTTTACTTCTGGTTTCATATAAATTTTCTGCAAATATCTGGTATCTGAGTATGTTTGGTGATATGAAGGCTGTACTGGTCTGCCTGAGCAAAGCCTTTGACAATGAATGCAAATTGAATTATCAAAAAACTTCCTTCTACATTTCATAATTGCAGAAACAGAAGAATATTGCTGGGGCACTTGCTTTTTGGATGGCAAATGCATCTGAGCTACTAAACTTCATTAAGCAGGATCGAGACCTTAGTCGAATCACGTTGGATGCACAAGATGTTTTAGCCCACCTAGTTCAAATGGCATTCAAGTAAGGAAATTACACTTTTTTCTATATTTCTGTTGTTCAAATTTTACTTTCACCTTTTCTGAGAAAGAGTTTTAAGTTCATTCAGAATTCCATTTTTTAAATCAAGTAATGTGTATGAGTTGTACTCCTAAGCATACTTATTTGAAAATCAGGATTCAGTTGGAGATTTCTCAATATATATGAATAGGTTTGCACTTTGGGAGTTAGATTCTTACGAATGCATGTCTGCTAGAACTGCAAGCTTTAGTTGACCTAATTTGAGGAGTACTGAGGTGCTTTAAACAAACTAGCTAGTGAATTAAGAATGCTTTAAATTCATTTATTGTTAAATAAATGTATTGATGATTTGTATAACATTTTAAAATGGTTTTACTGTTTTAATTGTAATTTTATGGTGTATATGTTGTTAGCATCATCTGATGCCTATGTGAGGCTGCCCTGATGTCACGTTGCCAGGGCTCTGCCTTATTTAGGTAGAGATGAACCAAACTCCCAGTTTTATCAAACAGTTTAATTAAAACAGCACTTACTAGACCAAAACATAAAACATAAAGATAGCACCCAGCCACAGAATAAACAAAAACTGATAGCAAAAACAACTCCATAGTCAAAAGGATCCAGTCCAGTGGTCAAATGTCGAGACTTCAATAAACAAAGTCCAGGGATCAAGAGTCTAGACCGTAGTCAAAAGCCAGTCCAAAAATTCAAGGTTCCAGGACTCCAAGATTACAGGAGACAGATCAGGATGCCGAAAAATCCAACAGACCTGGGGGAAAAACCAGCAGCATCCACCACCAAAATACAGCATATACTTTTCTCCCAAAGATCAGTCTCAAGGTTAGCTCCTTAAATCCAGTAACACCCAGCTGCAACCCATCTCCTGCACACCTCCACCCCTAATTGCTTTCACCCATGAACTCCCACTTACAGATTACCAAACACTCTAGAACTAATACATTAACCCTTCCATCACCAACAACTGCAGAACATATGACACCTGAGTCCCCCTTGTGGGGAGAAGGGCAGGATAGAAATGTCCTAAATAAATAAATAAATAAATAAATAAATAAAATGGATAAAACTCTTACTGCTATCACAATTTTTTTCAGATATCTTGTTCACTGTCTTCAGTCAGAGCTAAATAACTACATGCCTGCATTTCTTGATGATCCTGAAGAAAACAATCCTCAAAGACCTAAAATAGGTTAGATCACTATATATTGTGCTAAGAACAATACTATTGCTATATGATAGGAGTGTTACAGGATCACTTGTGCATTGTGGGTGTATCCTACTAAGCTTAATAAGATTGGTTGTACCTAACTTGGGATTCTCTGTCAGCTTTTGAAATCTGAGCCGTAATTGCTCTGGGCGTCTTTGGGCAGTCATCACATTGGATCAAGCCAATTTGGGCAAGTCTCCAAATCACTGGCTCAGGATCCAAACCAGAATTTCTTGAACAATGCTTGAACAATATTTTGTTGATTTCTTTTTGTAAACAGCTATTTTCATCCATCTATCTAAATTTCACAGTAAGATTTTTAAATAAAAGGGATGTTTCTAATTCAAAAAGAGTAGATTTTGTGTTTTCTATTATTATATTTCAGTTATAGTGTCCCCTTTATATAAATCAAGATTTATATAAATCAATATTTAAACATGCAATCTAGCTCTATCTAGAATGTATAGCCAAAAATTAATCACAACATAAATCTCTTTATAGATGACGTCTTGCATACACTAACTGGAGCCATGTCCCTGTTGCGACGTTGTAGAGTGAATGCTGCACTGACTATACAGCTCTTCTCCCAGCTGTTTCACTTTATCAACATGTGGCTTTTTAATAGACTGGTTACTGATCCAGATTCAGGATTGTGTTCACATTACTGGGGAGCTATTATCCGCCAACAACTGGGACACATCGAAGCATGGGCAGAAAAACAAGGCTTGGAGCTAGCTGCTGATTGTCACCTCAGTAGGATAGTACAGGTGAGTATTTGCCTGTGTGATTCTTGAGAGTTTCACCTGCTAAGGTAGTAATGAACATTCAGTTTCGTGTTCCCAGGTTAGATCATCAAAACCTATGGATCCAATTTAAAAAGAAATCATTGTGGCATATTTGATTGTCCTGATTTATGAGCTATAATCAGGACAGGAGACCACACTATCAGTACACAGTACAAAGAAACAATGGTTTTCGGTTGATAAAGGTCCGGTTTTGTCTCTGTTTTATCATATTGTCTGTTTAATTTATATATAAAACATATAGGAAGCCAAGATTAAATTTGGAAAAAGCAGACAGGAAGGAATAAACAACAACAATTTTAGATGACAGTGTGCTATTAGCAGAAATTAGCAAAGACTTCAAACAGCAATTTTAATGTCCAGCAAGTCAAGGATGAAAGCAGAGTTATTGTTGAATATTAGAACTTTCACCACAGAAATTTGCAAAGCAAGTTGATTATGATGGAGAGAGACTTGTGAGGCCAAAAGATAAACACATTCCTCAAATAACCAGAAGCGTAGCTCTGTACATGGATATCGTCTAATAGAAAGCATCACATGGAAATCAAACAACATAATTGAAAGCGGAAGATGAAAAAGCTCCATTCTCTCAACACAAACAAAACCAGGAACAGTTTGTGGCACAGACCATGCCATGCTAATATTCAAAAGGCAGGTAAAGGTAAAGAATAAGACTATACTAATCACTCTGCCAAAATGCAACCTAAAGATAATGTAAAAAATAGATTTGCTCTATTCAACCTAATTTTCATAGGGATCCAGAAAAAACCTGGACTGAAACCAGAAACATTGTCAGGCCCCTTTCACATGACTGAATAAAATCCCATATTATCTGCTTTGAACTGGAATATATGGCAGTATGGACTCAGATAACCCAGTTCAAGGCAGATATTGTGGAATTTTCTGCTTTGATATTCTGGGTTATATGACTGTGGAAAGTCTCTCAAAGAGGAATGCAAAAAATGCAAAAATATACTATCTGAAGTCTAAAAAAGAGAGATGATAGATAAAACACTTAAGGACACATGAGAAGGAAAAAGTAAAAGGTGACAGAAATAGAATCGGAATCCTGAATGAAATTGTTAGTGACTTGTGTGCAAGGGCAACGAGGATTACTATAACAACCAGTGAATAGAAATAAAAAGCACAATGAAATTGTATATGTGTATTTTCAAATGAAGTGGATAAAACTCTTTAAAAAAGAATTGCATATTGAATGATCTGTTAGAAGATCCCTACATCCATTTTGGGGTAATGCTTCCAGTGCCACATCTTGTAATAGCTATTAAAATATAGATGGTTGTCCCAATAGTTTTTGCTTTTCCTCCACTTACAGGCAACTACATTACTTACTATGGATAAGTATTTACCCGAAGATATTCCAAATATTAATAGCACCTGCTTTAAACTGAATTCTTTGCAGCTACATGCATTGCTACAAAATTATCATTGTGCCCCGGATGAACCATTTATTCCAACAGTAAGTTACTCTAGACTTTTTAATAGAAAAACGTTCTATTAAAAGACAATAAGCATTTTTTCTTGTGATATTTGTGATAAAAATGCCAACAAATTGACCAAATTGAGTTGGAAGAACATTCAATCTAAAAACAGAACAATGTGTGCTTTGGGCTAAATAAACAGAGAGAAATATTAGGGTCTGGGGAACTAATTAGAAAAGAGTTTTGAAATCAAGGTGGTTAAAAATAGCATGTGTAAAATGTGGATTAAAAAGCAAGAAGTGGGTGTTTAAAGGATTGAGGAAAGGGGGAGCAGTGGAAGCAACAACTGGATGTAAACATGATCAAAGTGGGCTTTGTTATTCTTTTCCCTGTGATGGGATAACATTTAGAGCTGAGACAGGCAAAGTATAGCATTCTAGATTTTACTGGACTACAACTTCAGGCAGAGCAAATGAAGGAGGATGCTCTGAATAGTACCCATCAGCACCTGGAAAGGCTACACTTGTTCATCCCTTATCTAGAGTCTGGGAGAGTGGTTCAAAGAGGCAAAATATGAAATCTGGGATGTGATGAGTTTCACAATAGTTTAATTGATATAATTAATCAAAATGTAATTGTAGTTTATTTTCAGTATCACTTTAGAATTTGCAGATAGAACTTTGAAACATTGGTCATACATTTGAAGATAACAGAAATGGTTCTTTTTAAAAAAAGTGATCTTTCTCAATTCTTAAATTATAGAATGTAATCAAATTATGTGTGCTATGCAAAATGTGTTTTTAATTTGTAATGTATTTTTAACTTAATGTTCTATTTACTGTTTTAAACTGTTGTTATATTTGTTTATATTTGTATTATCTTGTGGCATGGAATTGTTGCCTGAGTAAGCTGCCCTGAGTCCCCCCTCAGGGGTTGAGAAGGGCCAGCTTGAAATGTGGGAATAATAAATAAATAAATAAATAAAAGCTGGGCAAACAATTTGGCTATAAAATACTGTAAAAGTGATGGCCTATCACAGCCTACCATTATATATATTTTTTAGTTAAGACAACATTTTGATATATTGGCCACATATAAACTTTTAGTCTGATTATGTGGCCTGTTTCCATTGTTGAAAAATAATTCCCACATTGAAAAAGTATTATTAATAATATTGGAATTTATATTCTGCTTCATCTCTCCCAAAGATGACTCAGAAAGTGTGAGGGTTTTTATGAAGTCTCGGCAATTCTGCTGAAATATTATCATTGTCTTACTTGAGCAACTAAAATATAGTACTATAACATTTTACTCCTAAACTACCTAGTGTATTATATTGGTCATGTCTCTTTCCCTCATTCCTAGGAGTTAATAGAAAATGTTGTAGCTGTTGCAGAAAATACTGCTGATGAGCTTGCTCGTAGTGATGGTAGAGAAGTACAACTAGAAGAAGATCCTGATTTACAGCTGCCATTTCTTCTGCCAGAAGATGGCTACTCATGTGATGTTGTTAGAAATATCCCAAATGGGTTACAGGAATTTTTAGATCCTCTCTGCCAAAGAGGTTAGTGCTTTTATTTTTAGAAATGTTATTCTTTGCTTTAATTTTTTTTTGGATCAAATTTATTTTATCTTTTATATACGCTTGCTTGGACAGTCCTTGTTTTGAAATCATGTCAGCTTTTAAATAAAATCTCAGTGGTACTGCCATGTCTTCCTTCCCAGCTTTGTACTATGATGTTGGTAGGCACTCTATAATGGCCTACTTCATCGATGCCTATTAAGAAATTAATTGAAAAACTGTACAAAATACTTGAATAAAAGAGAGCCATATGTGGAAGAATTTTCTGTTCTTTTGTCCTCAGCCTTAATGAGAGGTTGAGCTGGAACTGTGATGTCCTTTAAGTAAGCTCCTTGTTACCCAGTGGGACTCATTTCTGAGTTAATATGTAAAAGATTAGAGTGTTGTTTTTTCTTCTTACGCCTAGGAGGTATTGTATCTTTTTTCATAACAAGATTCTTGGGGTAGCATTCCTTACCTTGAATTAATTTGATTCTTTTGAAAATGGAGCTTTAAATAGCATTGCTGTGAATCAGCATTCAGGATTAAAGTATATGCCTCCAAGTTTTGGTCAACCTATGATGGCCCCATTAATTTCATAAGATTTGCTTCAGCAAGGAATATTCAGAGGTTGTTTGTCACTGCCTTGCTTTGAAACATAGCCTACAGTAATTTTCCTTATATATCTTTTGAAACACAAATTATTTCCAAAATTTTATCTGTTTTTATTTTTAAAGAGTTCTATTGTATTTGTTTTTAGAGGACATAACTTCACCTTTTACTTGGTTATGGTTAATAAATAGTGTTAAGATTTTCAGTTTTAATGTGTAATATTGCTACTTCAAGCATTAATAATAGCGAGGGATATAATAGCGAGGGATGAATTGTAATGTATCTACTAGTCGCGTGCATTTGTATAGGATTGTTATCCGTTTCTGTTGTTTCATTCACATGGCTCCGTTTTCATTTTTGAGCACCGCATCCAAAAACGGCACCTTTCCCTCATCCCCCAAAAATGAATATTTTCATCCCATTGGTTTTGCCACTGCTGCTGAGGTACCTTCATCAGAGATCCTTGGCGCAGGGGTAGCGGCTTGCCGGGGCTTGCCCTTCACCACTCGGCAACCATACAGGCCCAGACGCATAGGCCCAAAGTGCGCGGGCCTGCCAGGACCTTCTGGGCCTGCACGGTTGCTGAGTGGTGGAGGGCAACCCCCTGCAAGCTGCCAGGCCCGCGCCAAGGATCTCCGATGAAGAGACCTCAGCACAGTTCCTCTTCTCTCTATAACTATGATGCCGAAAAGCAGGCTTGGAGCTGTTAACCGCTTCCATCTGCCTTTCGTATCAAGTTTATTTTTGTTCCAGGAGGGGATATTTCATAATGTGCCATCCAATTGGACAGAACAAAACAGAAACATGAATTAAACAAATAATAAAGATACTGGGCCCATGTCTAGTATCTACTACATTTCTCCTAGTTTCCCTGGAAAATGTCTTACTGGTGTAGATCAGGCCTGCACAAGCTGTGACCCTTCAGGTGTTTGAGTTCCAAATCTATCCCTACACAGCTTGTCCAACAGTCAGAAATTCTGGGAACTGAAGTCCCAGGGCCATAGGTTGTGCATGCTTGGTATATAATGAAGCCATGCTATGCAGAGTTAGATTAGGGAAAGATCAGGATCAGTAATGAAATAAAAGCCAATAAAATGTCTTGATTAGAAGAACATTTTATCAGATTGATGATCATCACTCTTTTTACTACTGAACCACATGGGTATGAATATATATGTGTTATCATTTCATTTGTTTTTTCTTTCTTTTATTGACTTCACCCAAATCTATGACATACATGCTCTATTGTACATTGTCTCCCCATCTAGGCTTTTGCAGATTGACACCTCATCCACGTTCTCCAGGGACTTGGACAATATATTTTGAAGGTGCAGACTATGAAAGTCATTTACTACAGGATAATGCTGATTTGGCAAGTATCCCCATCAGGGACATTATAGGAGAAAACATAAATGTGCATTATGGGCCATCTGTAATACTATCCAAAAGCTAAAACTAGACCGAGCTCAAATGAAAAGTCAAAGCAAATTAGCAGACCAGGTTCCATTTATTTGTTTATTTTTAAGCTCAACATGTTTCAGCCACCAATGAAATGGCCTTCCAGAGGGGCCATACTTTACACAGAAATTTCTGGATTGTACAATACACTTTCAAAAAATATATATAGACTATTAAAGAAAGAGTCTCCCAGAACTTTAACAAGCATAGTCGGGGGGGGGGGGGGGCCTGCGGGGATATGTTGGTGGGAATTGTTGCCTAATGCTTTCTGAATATTTGTGGATTCCTTGGCTCTTGCCTTACACTTCACTTGATACTGTGGAATTTTGGTGTTTGAGCTATATTTTTTCTCCTGCAGGCTCAACCCTTGAGGAAGGAACCTGAGATAATCACTGTGACATTGAAGAAACAAAATGGAATGGGTCTGAGCATAGTGGCTGCTAAGGTACAAGCACATTTTTATACTTTAAAAAGCAAATGGTTTTATGGTAGTTAACACCATAATAACAATCTTAATAATTGGGTTGCCGTAAGTCTTTCGGGCTGTATGGCCATGTTCCAGAAGCATTCTCTCCTGACGTTTTGCCTGGATCTATGGCAAGCATCCTCAGAGGTTGTGAGGTCTTAATAATATCAGAGGAAATTAATGAGGGAAGCAGAACACCTCATGAGACATATTCTTACCATACTGTAAACAACTGTCAGGTTTGATACACTTTATAGGTGAGTGTTCTTCAGGGGTGGAGCTGAGTTCAGGCTTGTGAGATCTATAGTGTCTTTTACTACAGGCTCTATAGTTCATATGCATACATGTGCAAAATATTGGCTGAGAATATACATTTATAATTTAGCACATTTTAGGCATCATAAGATGGTTCCCCCTACTTTCAGTCGTAGTATTTTCCCCACAGTATTTTTCTGCACATTTAAATCCAAGCATCTTTTTTTTGTAAACCTCAAATCTAAAACGTATTGGGGGGAGGAATATAAAATAACTGTCAACTTTTTAAGGCTTTGAGCAAGTGCCCAATGTGAATTTTTGTAGCGCCATTTTCTGAACACTAGATGGTGCACTGCAATAATATTATTAAGCTGTCATCTCAAATTTACATAACTTAAATCAAATTACTTTAAGTACAGTTTATGTTTATTTCAAAATATTTTTAGGGAACATGTGCTGTTCAATATATTCTCTGAAAGCTAAGAAATAAACTAGAAAGAGAGAGAACTATTGCTACAAATTTGGCAAGTGAAGAATTCTACTTCATTTCAAGCTTCTATTAGTAGAATAGACCAGAAGAATTTAATTTTCTTAACATCCAACAAGAGAAGCCAAAATAAAACGATTGTTACAGTCATCAGCAAAAGCCGCTCTCTAGTCAGGACAATAACGTGAATACATAAATGGTAGATCAACATGCTTCATCTTCAACTCTTTGGAAGAACAATGATCTCTCAGTTTCACCAGTGACAGTGATGAGAGGAAGAATAGCTGTGATTTCACAGCCAGCAGTGTCTTGTTATTGCATAGCAGGAATGATAAGTTAAATCTGTAATTAGTAGGAAGTTGTTGCAGTAGCATTCTTCATAGGAGAATCGTATTTGGTTTCAGCTTGGAATGATCTTTTCTCTAGGTGCATATATCTAATTCCCTTCATGAGTGAACTGGATTGTAGGCCTGCATTACATCTACAGCTATATCCAGTATGAATGCAAGTGCACATCTTTGCATTCACATCTTGTCATGGAGAGATCTGCAATGGTGATAGTGGTGTGGCATTAAGATGGAGGTTTATGGATCTTGATGAAGACTGGTTGATCTCTGGAACAGAGAAATGAGCATAATGGTGAACATGCTCACTTCTAAGTGTCCTTTCATATGAAGTGAAGTTAAATGTTCCCCTTTGGGGTTTTTTTTTAAAGAGCTGGTAGCAGTGGAACTAGTGAAACAGAGACTAGAGCAATAGTCACAAAAACTGAGAGATACTCTTACTGTGATGTCATGCTTATAGACAATATATTAGATGGCAGCCACTGAAGCAATGTGTTAGCTATTGATAGAATATAAGATCCTGAAATCAAAAAATCTTTATTCAGATCGAGCAAAACAGTTCTTACGCTTTAACTTTTGGGGCTTAAGGAGCTTGTGTATGTGGCTGATTGGCCTAGTTCAACAATAATGATAGATTTGGATCATTTCGCTGGGCCTTCTAGAGTACAGGGGAATAAGTTAAAAGACCTATATACTTGGCATAGGGGACTTCATTGTCTTTGAATTTCAATCTCAGATGATTAATTCATGTTCGTCATTATTGCAGTGAAAATTTAGTATAGTCATAGTTGCACTTCTCTCATCAGTGGTAATTAGACATGTGAAATAAGTTCTGATGCTGCAGAGCTCCAGAACTGTGGCGTACAGCTGTTCCCAAGAGCAGATTCTCCAGAAAAGCATAGAGGTCCTGATGGAATTGATTAACTGTCCCTGCAAAATGATTACCCAGGCATTTTAGTCAAATCATCTAGTAAGCATGGTTCTAGATTTCTGGAAAGAATAAGCAAAAACCTTATTGTGTGTGTGTGTGTGTGTGTGTGTGCCTTCCCTCTCCATAATAAAAAATAAATCTGGATTCTAAATGCAACATTGGTTTATATTTCCAGAAGCTGTGGTAGTAATTTTGTGCCAGATCTGTCATTAAGCAAAGTGAAGCAACTTCAGGCTATATTATAGTGGAGGATGGTATATCCAATTACCAGCAATGAAATAAGTTTAAGCTTTCAATCTGTGTGTGGAATTAGGAAGGGGTGCCATCTTGTTATTTGCCCTGGATAGCAAAATGGATTTGGAATGGCCCTAAATGGTCCAAGCAAGCATTCAAGTTGCAGTTTGTCTACAACCAACAAGATGTGACAGACTGGAATGGGATATCAATGAGAGCTGAAAATCCAGGCGTGCATCATGATCATGTATAGAAACACAGTTTATATGATAGAAACATACATTCAGATATGTTGATTACAGAATTTAAAGGCAACTTTTGTACTTGTGGTAAAGCCCTAAATAAATTGCCTACCTTTTCTGATGATTTGTTCCTGATGTAGGAATTTTCTATTATTGTACCATTTATTTTACCAGTAGCCATCTTTTGAGGGTAGTGGTTAGATTGTTTGGTAGTTGGGGGGTAGAAAGTCTTCTGAGACTGAGGGCAAAATGCTCTAAGCCTCAAACTGTTTTGATGTTAAATGCTGCCTGACTTCCAACCACACAGTGGTTACATTTTATGAAATCCAGATGATTTGGAAGCAGTCTATGCATGCAGTTTACTTTAAAAATATATCACCAAGGGAGGGGGAGTGAGGGGAGGGGTTAGCATCTGACTTCTTTCCATCTGTAGGCCAGCACTTTACTTCCTGTTTAACTTGGATTTTCTGTATCTTGTACAAAAGACTGCCTTGATTTTTCTAGGCAGTGTCTACAGTTTAATACGGTTCTTAATGCTAAATGAAAGGCAGAGTATCACAACTGGTGGTGTAAGAACTGAAACAGTCTATTGGTTATAGTGCTGGTGAATGCTATGCAGTGTCACTTCCAGTTCAGAACTATCTAGCTGTTTTGGAATATCTGACAGACTAACGGTTGTAGTTAAGAGCTGAAAAAAGAGTGAAGAGTTACATTTCTGGAGTTAAAATGTGGTTTTCTGTCGTTGGAAGAACACAATCGTTGGTAAGTGTGTTCAAGGGAGGCTTAACTTTATCTCTGATACTTTTCCTATACTTTGGTAAATTTAATACTTAGTGTAACATGTAACTAAATATTTGTGTCATTCTTACATTATACATTACAGTTTTAAGAATGTCTGTACATCTATTTACTTTGTAATAGGAAGTATAGTGACAGGTTTTGATCTGTAGTTTTCTCACTATCATTCATTTGAAAGAGCATACTTAATTTGGGATAAATGCTCTTGCTTTTCATGGTGTCTCTCTTTAATCCTAAGTACCACTAAAAGAAAATTATTTCTACTTGAAAAGAATGTTAAACATTATACATTGAAGAAAACTAACAGATTTCTGAAATTTTATTTCTCTTCATAGTATTTTTTAGATCTCATTGTAATAGATATTAATATCATTTGGATTTATATAACACTTTGGTAGAAAATAGCTATCTGTCTTACTATCCATCCATCATTCATTATAAAGAAATCCAAATTGTTCTTCTAAAAGTTGTATTTTTGGTTTAAGTTTGTTGTAAGATTTTGTTACTGAAACTTAAAGTCAGATGATATAAATAGTGGTGAACAGAAACTTTTAAAAGGGTAAACAGTCCTTCCAAATTATCAACCATCATTAATCTTTTATTCTGCTTTAATAGAAGTTTCAGGATTTTAAATTGTATTTATGTTAGAAACTGCAATACAGTTATCTTAAACATACTTAATTAGCAAAGTTTCTTGATACCATGGAATGTCTTTTCTAATAAACTTACATAGAACTGTGGTGTTGGAGTGCTATTTAAAATGAGATCATGCCCAGTAAAGTTGAATTTTTAAAAAATCTTTTAAATAACATTTTTACATACAACTTATTGAAGATTATGTTTTAAATTGCTTTCTCTAAAGCAAGAGGCTTTTTCTTACTGCACCTGATTTTCTTCACACTATGGGATTCAGTTTTTATCTTTTATCTTTTCCTCCAAGTTTTTTTATACTCCTTTTTTAAAAACTAATTTAGCCACTAATATTGTCACATTATGATAAGGTTTTTCTTCCACTTGAATAATGTATAGAAAAAGTTGAGATCTTACTTTTTCTTCTTCCACTGTGCCTAAGGGATTATGGGAGTAACTTCATTTTGGAAAAGGCAAGCAGATTTATATTATGAGGAAGCAAAATAAATTCTCTTCTAGTAATCAAGTGAGTTGCATTCAAAAAGACAAGGACAGAATTTTGTTCACAAAATTTTCCTGCTCTGGAATGAAACCGAGGAAAGTGATTTTCATTGATTGTCCATTATTCCACTGCACCAACAAATAAGTATTCCAGAGAAGTGCAAAGAGATACAGGAATTAGCACATTACCACGTTTATCCCATTTCTGCAAATAGAAACTTCATTTGAGTATTTCCCTAAAGTGCGAAAAATTAAGTAAGAAAGGTTTCTTACTAAAACACCTCATCTATATTATCAGCTAATTGTTTGTGTAAAAATAAGTGAGTAATAATGTTACTTGTGATGATAACATAAGCACCTTTGCTAATTTTCATTTTTCTGACAGGAGAATGAGAGAGTTGTGTTCCTTGTTTTGTTTATGAAGAGAGAGAGATAGACACTAGCCCAGTTTGAACAATTAAATTTCAGTTTATTAAGGAGAGATAAGAGACCTCTGAACAATAATTTCCCTCTTCTTTTACAACATGAGCATTTAAACCAAGAATCTTTAAAAGTCATAACAAGCAAAGAAAAAAATGCAGCACCCCCTGATTAAAACAGAAATATTCCAGTAGTATTGTGTCCAAATAAAGAGAGAAATTATTTAAAACACACACACTCTATTTACCAAAACTGGAAAAAAACTGTTAGCATGCCCCATTTTGAAATAAACAGATATCCTTGTTTGTTTAAATCTGGTAACCATACTATCTCAATTGAATGAAACATCAAGCTATGATTAATTAGATGGTTCCTGTGTTGCTTCTGCTTTCAAGCAGTTGTATGGACAGAAAAAGCTTGTTCATGCCTTCTTTTTCATTAATAATACTGTATATGCTCATGTATAAATCTAGAAATTTCAGTTAAAATTGACTCCAAAAACCTGTGTTGACTTATGCATGGGTCAGTGTCAGTACTGCACCTTGACCCTTCTATTTTTTTAAAAAAAAATCTGTGAGTAGAGTGGCAAAAAGTAAAAACTTAGTCCATCCTAGAAGAACTTAAAAGAAACACTTGCCTCTTCTCCACCATGGACCGGTCTCTGGTTTTTTTGAATGCTCAGGCCAGAAAATGATGGCAATGGTGGTATCTCTTTGGCACTACTTTGAGAGAAAATACCAGAAGGGGCCAGTGCATTTAAAAGGCCAGTGCTTCTTTAAGGTTCTTCTAGAACAGATAAATCTTGAATCTTTTGCCACTATTCAAAAAAGGGGGTGGTTCCTTTTTTAAAAAGTGTTAATATTTTTGTCGCAACTCAGGATAGATTCACCTTGCCCAAGACAGCACCACACACCAAGGTTGTAGATTTTGTAGTTTATTGAGAAGAGGCAAAATCAACACAAGGAAATAAAGGAGTAAAGTTCATTGAGCAAAACAGAGTCTTAAATGCAAAGGCAAGGTATCCAAGTTCCAAAGGCAAATAACATGAAGCATAGCCCTTAAGCATTGGTTAAACAAACATCCATGGTAGCAAGACAAGGTCTCCAAGAATTCAGGATCAAAATCAAAGTCCCAAAGAGCTAGGAGCTTTCCGCAAAAGCCAAGGTAATTCCGCAGAAGTTAACAGGGTAGAAACCACATTGGACTGACTGTGAATGCCCTTCGCCCAAAGCATTAAATAAGTTTTCCTAACATGAAAGCATTACGTTGACCTCTAGCTTCACGCTTGTTGGCAAGGCGTGCGCTTCTTCGAACTCTTAATTGCAACTGGTCTTCTCTAATTAAATCTCCTCTACTATCTTCAAGGCCAGTTACCTCATTATCTTTGCCCAGCCGGGCCTCGTTGCCCTGGGAAACAGGAGGCCCAGGCCTCTCAGAAGAGTCTCCACCTGGAGCTCCGAAGTTTCGCTATCTATATCTGAAAACACATTCCTTTCTCTAGGGAACAGAAATGCTGTCTCTTCCTCAGAATCTGCCTCATTTGACTGTCTGACCGGAACAGGATCAAAGATCCCATCATCTTCCTCGTCCTGAGCAGGTTCAGAAAGCTCAGGCTCAGACTGAGCCACAACCATCACCTTCTCTGGCTTTTCTGAATGTCTGGATGGAGTGGGATGAGCAATGGCAACAGGCTCTCAGTCGATGCTGGGGCTTTCCCCTCTCCATGAAATGACTGAACTTAATCACATGGCATATTAAAATCCATAATTTGGGACCCAGAATCTGCCCTCAGCTAATATTTGAAGTTGACTTATATTTGGATATATACAGTGTAATATGTAAGTCATTCAGGGAGCCTCTGAATGAGAACTGGGGTAATAGTACTTTAAATATCAAGTATCTGAACATATTATGTCTATGGATGATCAGCTAATAGAGGTATCATATTAATGAAAGTCAGAGTTAGGAATAGAGGTGTGCTTTTTCAGAAACATGAGAGAGAGCAGTGAGGTTACAGTTTGATTTACTTTGTCAGTGGTGAATTTTTATGGCTTATCTCATGTTGTGTTATCTGATTTGATATGTGTGATCTGATGGGATCCAAACAGAGACCACAGTAAAGTTTTGGATTATAATCTGTTTAGTATGCCTGAAAAGTTTGAGGGCCCTTCCACACAGCCATATAACCCAGAATATCAAGGCAGATAATTCACAATATCTGCTTTGAACTAGATTATCTGAGTCTACACTGCCATATAATCCAGTTTGATGTAGATTTTATACAACTGTGTGGAAGGGGCCTTAGTGCGTCCCAAATCAACACTTGATTTCTATTTTTAAATAACGTAGAATGCATAGCCTTTAAAAGTCATGCTTACTAAATAGACTTGGGTTGATATCCTTGATGTTTCATGGGGCTTGTTGTTTTTTAATTCATTTTGCAAGGAACTTTGTGTGGAATAATTTTGAAGCGTTCTAGGTTCTTCCAGCACCTAAGTTGTTTATGAAATTTCATGGCAACAACTTTTACTTAAGAAAATATTACCCAGGACTAATTATACCTTGGCATGCTATTGATTTGTTAATCTTTCATGTAAAAAGATTAATTTGGAAGATTAAAAGGTTAGAAAACATTTTGTTTAGTGGTCAATATATTAAATTCTAGTTTTTAAATAATTACATTTTTCAGTTAATTGTTATCCCTTCTTGCTAGCTTATTTCTTATATAAATGGTTGCCAAGAAATTGCCCTTACAACAGAATTTACAACGTATGCACTTGGACACCAAAGTGGTTTTTGAACCCTCAAATGCAACTCCACACCGATTTTTAAAAAAGAAATCAAAACAATATTTGTGTAGTTTTTCACCTGACACCCAATAAAATCAGCAGTATCCCTTCTGGCATGCTGAAATGCAACATTGGAGTTCGTTTGCGAGCTGGATCCTGCCTCCTCTGGAGTTACCTCTTCTCTGGAAACTGAATAACTCACATTTTCTGTAGGTCAGATCTTAATTTCTGGGGGACATGAGACTTCATAGGAATAACCTTTTGTGTTGTCCTCTCCCCTAGGCTGCTGTCTGGATTGTTGTCTGTATATTTATATTAAAGGAAAAGCAAATAAGTTTTATGTGGTCATGAAAGTATAAGTACTTTGTAATCCTTGTATGTAGGCCTCATAGAAATTACTCCTACTGTAATATCTACTGCAGTAAAAAGGTTTATGGGCTTTTCTCTATTTACAGGTGTTTCCAGTATCTTTGAGTTCATACAATCCCCTACTTTTTGTGTGTGTGGGTTTTTTTTTAAATTTAGATGGGTAGATTTAAATGTTTGACATATGTGCAAGGTATGTATTTAAATGTTTGACATATGTGCAAGGTATGTATCAAAATGAGGTCCTACTAAATACATCTTGCATATGGGTTTAGGATTATAGCCTTAACAACACAGTTGTAAAATATATTGTTTATCTCTTTATAGGGTGCTGGCCAAGATAAACTTGGAATCTATGTCAAGTCTGTAGTAAAAGGTGGTGCTGCAGATGCGGTCAGTAATATTTGGTATAAATTAAACTAGACAAAATTTTCAGTTACTAATTTAGATATTTTATATGTTCATTAATTTCACACTTAATATTTATCTTATAAAACATGTGTTTAGGATGGCAGGTTGGCTGCAGGCGATCAGTTGCTCAGTGTAGATGGACGCAGCTTGGTTGGACTTTCACAAGAAAGGTATATCAAGTTTTTATGTTTTCAGGGGGGGGGGGTAAAAGAAATAGCTGGACATTTTCATGCTCTTTCTAATATTTATTCCTCTGATTCCCTCATTCTGTCTCTATTTCTCTCCCCCTCTTTTTCTCTTTAAATAGGTAATTTTTGAAATATACATACAAAAATTGGGGGAAAGGAAAAAAGGGGATTATGATTTCGACTTTGCTTAGAAGTTCTCTATGTTGTATCTGTGTAGTAGATAAATGGAGCATCTGGATCTTGCTTCTTTCATCGGAAAGTGGAAAACAATCCAAAGAACTTATGTCAGAAACTAGATTGTCCGCATAGCAGTTAAACCAAAAAGGGTCCAATAAGCTAACTTGTCTGGCACTATTCCTCGTGTTTAATTTAATAGAAGACCTATTAAATTAGTGTAAGAATAAGGTTGCAGCTTCAGAAATAACAGATCCTTATCTGTCTTGATGTGTGACATTTTTTCTAAATGGTACTCTTTATCCATGAAACAAAATGCCAAAGTAAAATCTACAAAGGCCACACACAGGCTTCATTTTGGCTGAATAGAGTTTTGGGAATCAAATCAGTTGAGCACAAAAAATTGATCAGTTGTGCTCCTGGTATGCTGAAATCCAACCTGCTTTGCCGTGGTGTCATTTTTCATTTGCCCGTGTTCAGATTTTATTCCACATGAATCTGTCATATACTTTAGACACTATTTATATCCAGAAGGTTAACTGCTCTATAGTTTTTATGCTCAGATCTTTCACCCTTTTATACAAAGGACAATAATAGTGGATCGCCACTAAATAGGAATAATTCCTTTTCTTATTGACAAGAAAAAAACATCTTGAATAAAATAGGAACCCACAAAAACATATTTAAATACAGTATAATCCCTGTATCTGCAGGGGATATATTCCTAAAATTACTATGGAAACAGGAACTTGTGAATAATAATGAATCCTGTTGAAAGGAATAATTTCCACTGGATGTTACTATAGAGACATGTTGGAGGACCTAGAAAATTCCTGGAGAGGTATCATATCTAGGAATTTACCAGCACAACGTTATGATAATGTTTGACAGAAGCATAGAATTTGCTGGTAAGACCTAGAACATTCTGAGAGAGGACATACTGTCTTGGAAGGAAGTAAATGAAACTATGGGTACTGATCTCACTGGGGTGGAAGTTGTGCTGTAATTCACTTGGGAGAAAACAGCTTGGCTAAAATAGGGCATACCAGGAAAAAAATCTAATAATTAAGTGGGGAGAAAACAACATGGCCAAAAAAAAAAAAAAAGGAACTGCCAGGAAGAATTATGTTTAAGCAATTCAGGAGCAGTATGTCAATTCCTTTGCCTGGGTTCTGATTTTTCAGTAAACAGAGATGACATTGTGGGCCATTTGGGGAGTGTTCATTGCAATTCCTTTAATTTAACATCTAAACTTCATTTGAAATGTTGTATCTGATATTTTTGCAGGCCATTTATTCACTTTGATTCTAAATATGTTTTTCATTCTTTGTACTGTCCGTTGCAGCATATTTACTTTCACTAAATTTTACCTTTATCTCAGGGCAGCAGAACTGATGACAAGAACTGGTTCAGTTGTGACATTAGAAGTGGCAAAACAAGGGGCAATTTACCATGGTCTAGCAACCCTTCTTAATCAGCCATCTCCAATGATGCAGAGAGGTAAACAATTGAAACATCTTCTTTCTACATTTTCTACAACCAGTTCCACTTCCTTACTTAACAATTTTCTGCCCCATCTTTTCTGTAACAGTCTTGGGGGTATTTAGTGTATTGATGTCACCCCTTAAACTTTCATCCTATGTTTTGTTCTCTATTTTTTTTATCATTCTTGTTGTCTATATTTGAATCTGGTCTATTCTTTCTTAAAATGAAGTGGCAGAACTGAACTTGGTAGTCCAGATGAGACCTGACCCGTGTGGAATATGCCTTCCCTCGACTTTGAACCTATGTTTTTATTAATGCAGGTTTAAATACCATTGTCTTCTTTGGTGCACCATCGTGCTGGTGTCTCATGTACAAATTCTGATCTACAATAAACTGAAAATCCTTTTTCCCCATTTAACCATGTGTCCTCTGGATTCTGGGAAGACATGGTAACTTACATATATTCCTGTTAAAATTCATTTTGTTAGATTTTGCCTCACTGTTCAGTTTGTCAAGGTAATTTTAACTTCTGATCCTGCATTCTGAGGTGTTTGCCACCTCCCCTAATTTAGTCTCATTGTGAAATTTGAGAAGCATGTCTTCTGTTCTGTCATTCAGTTGAAATTGAAAAATCAAGATTTCCTCCTTCTGAGTGTTATGTTTATTCCTGTTCAATAATTATCTCTATATTTGTGCAGTTTCAGACCGTCGTGGTTCAGGTAAACCCAGACCAAAGAGTGAAGGTTTTGAGCTGTATAACAATTCAGCTCAGAATGGATCACCTGAGAGTCCTCAGCCGTGGCCAGAATATAACGAACCAAAGAAGTTGCCAGGAGATGACAGACTGATGAAGAATCGAGCTGATCATCGATCTAGTCCCAATGTAGCAAGTAAGCAGGATATTATTTATGAATTATTGAACTACAACTCTAGTCACCAGGGTTCAAATCCCTGCTTAGCTATGTTAACCCACTGAATGACCTTGGGCAAGTTACATTCTCTCAGCATCAGAGGAAGAAAAAAGCAAATCCTGTATGTACGAATTGTGCTATGAAAGTTATATACAGTAGAGTCTCGCTCACCCAACGCTCTGTATTATCCAACACAGTCTTCCCCCACCCATATCCACAGCTGTTTAAATAAATTGCAATGTTTTGGTGCTAAATTCATAAATAGAGTAATTACGTAATTACTACATAGGGTTACCATATATTGAACTGCTTTTTCTGTCGAATTGTTGTAAAACATGATGTTTTGGTGCTTAATTTGTAAAATCATAACGTAATTTGACATTTAATAGGCTTTTCCTTAATCCTTCCTTATTATCCAATGCTTATTTAACATTCTACCAACCTGTTTATGTTGGATAAGCAAGATTCTACTGGAATAAATTAGCCTTATAATTGCCATAAGTAAAAAAGAACCCTCTTGATGACACAGAAATATAGAACACCTTTCTATATGGTGTTGAAACAAATAAGCCAGATGTCGTTTCAAAATTTGGTGACTAGCTATGAAATAAATGACATAATAAGATATTAATGGGAATATCAAAAAATCTTTTTTTAAATGTATTAGATGTATAAGTAAAGTATAACTTGTCGTCATTATATTACAGAAATATTAAAGAAACAAAATCAACCAATACAAGGAAAAGAGATTACATACCCTTCTGGGAATACCAAGACTACTCATTGATATTTCACTCAGTTAAAGGATTTTGTCAGATAAGATTGGTTTGTTTGTTTGTTTTAAAAAAATACTATTTTTCAACAGATCAGCCTCCAAGTCCTGGGACCAAAAATGCTTATGCAGCTGGAACCACTAACAAAATAACATCAGTGTCTACTGGAAATCTTTGTACAGAGGTTAGAAGTGGCAAGCAAAAACTTTATCTAAAAATATTTGTTAAAATGTGTGGCATATTTGCTTTTAAAGTATATATACATCTGTATATTTTATCTTTCTGGTATTCACATAGGAACAGATACTGCCACCCAGACCTGAAGCATATCCCATCCCAACACAAACGTATACTAGAGAGTATTTTACATTTCCAGCATCCAAGTCTCAGGATCGAATGGGTCCTGCACAGAATCAATGGTCAAGTTATGAAGAAAAACCACAAGTTCCAGAAGAAAGTAATCATTATATCAGTGCTGCAATGCAGGTTAGAAATATTTTTCATTATCCAAACTAAATTATCACAGTAGTTTCAGGGATGGCATGGAACGAATATCATGATGACTGGTCCTCTTATGTTCAGTTCCATATAATGTGCATTAGCTACTAAGTAGAAAACAAATTTAATATTTGTTTAACTGTTAAAATATAAGGGTGTCATAAAAGTTACTCAGGGCGCTGTAAGTGCCGTGAAAAGTAGCTAAAATGTTCTGTTTTAGGAGATGTCATTAACCATTGTGAAACCATAAAATGTCTGTTTTAGCTTTTAAACAACCAAGTCATTAGCAAGCTGCTAGCTGCATTTTCACAGTGCGTCTGACACAAGTTGCTTTGTGTCCAGAGTTTCTGGAGTAATAGAGCATAAGGAATGCTTTCATTCCAAACAAGGCATTGTTTCTAGGTCATGGATAAGGTCATTGATAGAAAAGCACAGAATAAGTTGCTCTTGTTCATGGTTTCTAGTCACATTTCTTTTGTGTCTGGTCAGTTTTGCAAATGACAGAAATGCTCTAAAGATGCCTGAGTTAAAGCTGAAGCTTGCAGTTAACTTAAAACTTTCCAGGCATGTGGTGCCATGGTGTCCAGTTTTAAAGCTCTGCTCTGCTCTGCAGTGCTTGTATTTTGTATTTCATGCTAAAAAAAAACCCTAATGAAATTCCAGTACAGCCCTGCAAAGCTGTAATATTTTCCTAGAAAACTTCTGATCAAACAATTCCTCCTCATATAACTACCACAAGAAGAAAAAAGGCAGTAATAATTGCTAAATGAATCCGAGTGAACAGATGGTAGCATTTCCTTTGCACTTTGTACATTTAATTGTGATTATAATAGAAGCTTGTCACAGCAGTTGAAGGCGGGACTAGAGAAATTAGTATGCTTCATTTACTCTTGTACACTGCTAGCCCTGCATATTTTTTCTGGGAGCAGTGTCCAGAAGCACTGGTGCTTGTGCTTGACAGTGTTAAGAAACTATTCTGCATAAATTTTATTGTGATTTACCGTCACCCAAAGTAATTTCATAATCCTTTCATAATTGGACTTTTAAAGCTTGCATAACTTGTTTGGAATGAAAGTCTGCGTCTAGGACCTCAGCTGTTTTAATACTTTGCTTCTTGAAGTATTCATTCGAAGGAACAGTAAGTAAACAGTGCTTCAGTGTAGATGAATGTTGCAACATGTCATTTGGTAATTTTGCTGTTTATAAATATTAATCTGAAAACTAACAGTCTATTTTTCCTTTTCTTCAAGCGTGTAACTCGTTCTCAGGAGGAACTACGTGATGATAAGGTTTATCATCCAGAAAGGAATCGATTAGAGGTTGTCATACGAAAAGATGTGGAGTATATTGATCGGAAATCAGACAGTGATCCATGGATGAATTCTTCTGTAGATTCTAGCACATCAAGTCAAGAACATCTAAACCATTCCTCTAAATCAATTCCCCCTGGTTCTTCTTTAACCAAAAGTGGACCCGGTCGCTGGAAAACTCCTATTGTCCCTCAGCCACTATCACTGGCACCTGCCCAGTCCAACAGAACAGACCTCCCTCCCCCACCCCCTCCCCCTCCAGTGCACTATGCAGCTGAATTTGATGGACTGCAAATGGATTTGCCTCTGCCACCACCACCTCCACCTTCAAGCCAGCTGGGGCCACAGGCATCATCTCAGGCTGCTGCTGCAGAACGCAAAAAGAGAGAAGAGCATCAAAGGTGGTATGAAAAAGAAAAGGCACGCTTAGAAGAAGAAAGAGAAAGGAAGCGTCGAGAGCAAGAAAGAAAGCTGGGACAAATGCGATCTCAGCCACTTATCCCTACTCAGCCACTGCTTCCTCCTGCTTCAGTTCAGCAGGTGAAGCCAGAAAAGCCTTCAACTTTGCAGAGATCCCAGGAAACTGTCATTCGGGAATTGCAGCCCCAGCAGCAGCCACGGACCATTGAGCGCAGAGACTTGCAGTACATTACCATAAGTAAAGAAGAATTGTCGTCTAGTGATAGCTTGTCACCTGACCCATGGAAACGAGATGCTAAGGAGAAGTTGGAAAAGCAGCAGCAAATGCACATTGTGGATATGCTGAGCAAAGAGATTCAGGAACTCCAGAATAAGCCAGATCGAACTGCTGAAGAGAATGACCGTCTGCGCAAGCTCATGTTAGAGTGGCAATTCCAGAAACGACTCCAGGAGTCAAAACAGAAAGATGAGGATGAGGATGATGAAGAAGATGACGATATTGATACTATGTTGATAATGCAGCGACTGGAGGCTGAGAGAAGAGCAAGGGTAAAATGAGAGAGACCTTTAAAAATGCATTTTGGGTGCTAAACATCTGCATGTTTGCCTGAATAAAACGTAGGAATCAAAATAGGATAAAGGAGGACTGGACTCCCTTAATGTCCCCATCTTTCATTTTTAAATAATGGCCTTAACTATCCTAATTTGTCTGGTTAAGTGGTGTATTATAAGCTAGAAAGCTTGATATAGCTCTCTGTAATGTCCCCATTTCTCAGGAAAACTGGAAAAGCAGGGAAAACTAAACATTCGTTGGTGCTTATTTATATATCTAATATACAGACATAGTTGTTTCTGCGTAATGCATACACATACCATCATCCAAAAGAGCAAATAGGACAGCTTTCCATCTTACTTTTTAAAGCAATATTTGCTGTAATTTCCAAATTAATTTTGCATATTTATAATAGCACTGTGATACTTAACATTGCTTTTCATCTATTCATAACATGTATATAACATAGTTAGGATTTTTTCATTTCAACAGAGTTTTTGTTTTGTTTTATTTTCATCAAAGGAAGAGGTGTTCAGGAAACTTTTTCCTAAGAATTACAGTCTTAGAAACGGGTTAAAATTTCTCTTATATTTACTTTACATTAGGAACTGTGTACTTAATATTGATAAATGATAAGATTATAAGTAGTAGTTGATTTCAAAATTTATTTGCCTCTTAATTGTTTTGCATATTATGTTTATTGTGCATCTATGAAAAGCATTTGCTTTTTAAGGCTACGTTTTTATGCATTTCCCACTGAAAGCATTGGATTTTCTTTCATTCTTTTGCTTTATTTTTTGTTGAGCTTAATTTTTCTACTTTGCAAGTTTAAACTGATTAAATGAGGGCTAAATGATTTCTTTACAAACTAATTGTACTTGTTGCTAATACTGCTTTTTTAACCAACTTTTAAAGTAGTCAGTCATCTAGCAATTTAATCTTACAATTTTAAAAACCACACCATAACCTTTGTTAGATGACATCTCTATTGCATAATCTGATGCTTTTTTAAAAAAATTGTAACTTCTAAATTTACTTTGCACAGTGTTAAAACTACAAAAACCACTATATCTTTAAAATTAGGTAACTAATTGGGTACTTTTTCACAACAGAACACTGCCTTGATGTTGTTTACATCATTATCTGCACACATTGGATGTGTTCTGTATCTTTAAAGATCCAATTCATAGAGGAAAAATAACTTTTTACTTATTTATTTGGATATGTTCACTTACTTTATAGCAGAGAATCAAACACTGCTTTTTCTTTTGATACAGCTGTGGTAACAAATCAAAGAAAAATGCTTTTGGCATAGTACAAATCTAAATTTACCCTTATTTTCACTGTGCATCTTTCTTTTTCCTTCTTTTATTACCTGCAGCAGACTGCTATGCCAGCAATCTCTGTTCTAGATTTGGTATGTTCTTATTTCTTTCTCTTCAATGCCTTTTCCTTGCTGCTTTTTTTCTTTTATTTTCAATGGATAATGATCCAATATGCATTGAATACTTCACAAGCTTTAAGGCAGGGTGTAATGTATTAAATTAGTTGTATGTAAGCACACACTTGTTGCTGGAGGTATGTTTCTAACTTTTATTTCCATTCTTTCTTTAAATATTCTGTTCTGGTTGCATCTTTGAGTTGTTTGCAGCTGTGACCTAATGCAGTTAAAAGAACCATATCTTTGCATTAACAGAAACCTAGTAGTTTGAAAACATTTTATGTGGTGAGACTTCATGGTTCTCCTCCTTTTTGTTGTTACACTTTGTATCCCATACGTAAATGTGTTCTAAGCATTCTAATATCCAGTCTGAAAAAATCATTTTCTAAGCTCATGATAGTTTTGCGTAGCTTGCCCTTCACATCGGTTCTCAAAACAGTTCTTTTTAACCCTTTTATTTCTTGAAATGCCACATCTATATAATATTTTTAGAATATTGGTAGTTATTATAGATACCTATACAACATATTTCCTTTGTTACACAACTAGGTTGTTAAAATTGCTGTAGTAGAAAAGCAATATAGTCCTAAAGTGATGGCATTGGGATAGAGAGAACAATGCACCTTTGCAATCTTTTTATGATATTGCCCGGCTACTATATGAGACAGAAACAAGATTCATTATATTCTGATCATGTCTGCTTCCTTTTAACCCTTTAAATACATGATTTGTGTTTATCCAATGAAATCCAATGAAAATCAGATTACTGTATTGCACTTTTGAACATCTCTTTCTCAAAGTGTTATGCCCTTTGAAAAAGAAAAAAAATGTGGCTGGGTATTAAAATTAATACATTCTTTCCTGTCTAGGCTTTCAGATTTTGTATCCCACTGATTTTAAGGGAAGGTGTTTACACATCTGTTTAAAATTCTCTTGAAATGAACTTAAAATTCTACCCATCTTCCCCACCCTTGTTTAAATTTTATGTATTTATTCTTTTAAAATTTTAAAAAGACACCACTTGCTGCAAAATGTTGATTTTAACAATTTGTCACTGTGGGACATAGTCCAGGAGTTCTCCTTTATTCTTCTATGATGTTTTTTAAAGATTCAGACTTTTCCAAGAACGCATTTTGAAAGATTTTACAGCAGTACATGTTGATCCAGGTGTATAAATATGTCCGGACTCAAAATGTAAGAAATAAGTAATTGCACTCTCTAGGGTAAATTACATGATATTTTCCCACATTAACATAACTGCAAAATGTTCTGTCATTGTAGATATCCTTGTAAATCTTTTATTTGAGAATAATAATAATAATTGATGCTTGCAGAGTTTGAATAGCTGCTTGCTGCCTGGACCAGACCAATCGTAGTGCCAATTATTTTCCCCAGTGGGAAGGGGAAATGTTTTTTCAGTTAAGGATTTGCATGTCTCTTCAGAAGAATAAATATAAAATATCTAATTTGGCCATTAAAGAAGCATGATAGGATAGAAAGCAAGTGCAGACTACTCACATTTTTTGTAGAGACCCATTGCCAATCTAAGGCTATGAATAGTTGATAAAAATATATGTTTTTCTTTAATTTTAAAGTAGTGATAAAATGTTTTCAACAGTAATAGTGTTGGGCTTTCCACTTTTAAGAAAATCAAAAATGCCTTAGTTGTCCTGAGGAGGATTATATGGGTTTTATTTGGGGGGAAAATGAAGACAAATCTTTGTTAGCTACAGGACGAAGAGCGCAGACGGCAGCAGCAGTTAGAAGAGATGCGTAAACGGGAAGCAGAAGACAGGGCCAGACAAGAAGAAGAGCGTCGGCGCCAAGAGGAGGAGCGAACAAAGAGAGAGGCTGAACAAAAGGTTATAGTTTCTAAGTGAAGCAAGATATCTTTGTATGCTTCACCTCATTAACTTGAGGACTAGTGATTTGATTTTAATAATGGGTGATGGGGCCACTGTAGTGATGCCAGTGTCATTGGTTCATTAAATATCAGGCATGCTAAGTTGTGGATAACACTATTTTGATAGCATATAAGATACTAGATCTGGACATTGCCTAAAACCAATAAGCAGATTTTTATTTGTTTTCTTGTAACTTCAAAGAAGACAAAATATGTACAGTGGGAAAGAATGGAAGAAAAAAATTAACAATTTAGTGATAGATTGAAGGGTCACTGAATTTAAGTGAACTGCAGGTTTTATAAATAAAGGTAGGATTATTTATTTATTTATTTCATACGCTTCTATCCCGCCCTTCTCCCCACAAGGGGGACTCAGGGCGGCCTCACATAGGCATCAGCGATGCTTACAACATATATGTCATAAGAATAACAGTTAAAACAGTAAACACATTTTAAAACATTGTACAAATCAACCAATAAATTCATTTAACAATAATATTAGCATGCCAGTAAAACCAAAAATCAAGCCGGGAATCCAATATCGCAGATCCTAAGTTCCTTTTCCTATTTTCACTATAATCTAGTCAAACGCCTGGCCCCAGAGCCAGGTCTTCAGTTGTCTTCTAAAGGACAGGAGGGAGGTGGCCAACCTGATGTCCTTAGAGAGGGAGTTCCACAGATGGGGGCCCACACAGCAAGAGTGGTGGGATCAAGAGCAGGGCCTCTCCTGACGATCTTAAGCTTCGTGATGGTAAGGGAAGAATCCTACAAATAAAGGTAGGATTAAGAGGGAGGAATCCTACCAATTTTCCCTCTTAATCTCCTTAAAATATTTGGAAATACATCATAAATTGACTGTTTCCAATGCAAAATGCACTGTAGCCAAACAATGTGTTGAAATAACACGGCCTTTGGGGTCTTCCATGAATGACATTATACCCCTCTTAATTATAATGTTTGTTATTGTTGAGATATTTCTTCTTTGGATCTGCAGAGGCGACAGGAAGAAGAATATTACAATCGCTTAGAAGCTGAAAGGCGCCGTCAACATGATGAAGCAGAACGAAGATTGCTGGATCCCGATGAGCCTGGTCTGTACAGACCTCCGCTTCCACGGGAATATGAATTCCCATCCCCACCCCTTTCATCTAATGCTCCTCCTCCCCCACCTCAGCGAAACACCTCTTACCTCAAAACACAGGTCCTCTCCCCTGATACGGTTTATACTGCCAAGTTTGTTGCATACAGTGATGAGGAGGAGGAGGACTCCTGTCTAGCAGCAGGTCAGGATAAGTACTCCGGTACAAGAAAATCTTATGGTGACCTTCCTCCTGCCACCCTTAAGCCACAGCAACCCTCGCGCCAGCCACGCCCAGCCTCAGATGGCATCTTTCTTTCCAACTCATTCCAGTCATCCTCGGTCAATGCCAACAGTACTACTTCCAAAACCAGCCAGCCCCCTCCCCTACCAAACAAACCGAGTTTCATCAGCCCCAGCAAACCAAAAGGTAGACTCAAAATTTTCATTAAGAATATTTCTGTATGAAACTCTGCATATTTCCACTATGGTGTTCTAAAAAAAATCACTTCCCTGATTACTTCTTACTTGATCACTATACTCGGCACGGTGATCCAGATGATATCCTGCTTTTAAATTCTATTTTTCACTGTGTGCTCTTTCTATTTTCTTATCAAACTCTCCAATTCCTACTTTCATATAATGAAAGCAGAATGATTCCTTTTCAATCAACTAAAAGTACTGTTGGTTTTGGCTTTTGTTCTGTATCTCTTTCAGTGACTTCTTTCTTTTCTTCATTGGGTCCGTGGTGTTTTTTCATTTCTCAGTCAGCCACATGCTTCTCATGACAATAGGACATGTGTGTCATATATTTTTAATGGGCAGAAATGTATCCTGTGCTTATTTGTCATGTAAAATAGTGTGCAAATTGCTTCAAAGTTGATCATCTCAAATAGTTTAATTTAAAATTCTAGGTGTATGTTTGGAAAAAGCAGAGCTACACAGTACTAGCAAGTTGTCTGGATCTTTTTAGTACAGATGGCCTAGTAGGGAAGCACAAACCTGGTTTACCATTAGTAGTGTTTTCTTCCTTTTTTTTCCTTAAGCCCCCCCCCCCTTCCTTTCATTTCTTTATTCCCTGTGTTACAAACACAAAACAACTGAGCATATCCACAAAAAAAATAACACACAAGAATTGGAATGCAACCGTAATATAATTGATAGGTGGTTCTCCTTTGGCAACTGGAAACTAGTTTTTCAAACCTGTTACTTTTTCATTTTTCTTCCATCTTAATTTTTGAAGTAATTTTTTCAGATTTTAACTTTTTTTTCCACTCCTTGAAATACCATGTACGGTAGAAAAGAGGCTTGTCTATAAAGATTTATTAGCTATATCCCTGTGTTCTCTGTTTGCTCTATCCCTGTGTTCACATGGGAGCAATTGTTATTTGAAAATGTTGATATTCTCCTCTAATCGTCATGGTATTCAAGGTCAAGAAAAATTTCTCATTCAGGTAACAGAATCTTACCAAAGTGAAGGAGGCATAGAATATTTATTCCACAATGAGAGCTGAAGTGTGGGCATGTTTAGTATTTTAATCACAGTAATGCAAAGTGTTGTGTCTCCTGTTGGTAATGTTTTTAAGCTTAGAGGCTTTCGAAAATGCATTACCGACTAATTGTAATCTTTCCCCAAGCAACAAGTACACCTTGAGACTATATTAGCTCTCTGTTCATATAATACCAGAGTTTACATTTTCAAATAGTTAACATCTAACTATCTAATTTAAAGAAACAAATAATGCAATTTTTTGGAAAATGCTGTCTAATTTTGATCTTTACCTCAGTCCATGAACCATAAAATGAATTCCACACATTGTTTCATTTTTTTAAAAAAAATTATAGAACAGATCATATATTCCATATGAACATTCAGTCTTTGAAGCCTGCCTGCATAAAGTACAAAGCTCTTTGCACAAAATCTTCATTAAATAGCTTGTTATTGTTCCATCTCATTAATTCTTACATTTCTGTCCTTAAATGTGCATTAACATTTGCCAAATTGTGCTTTTGCAAAACTGAAATTCCCCCAGCTCCTTCCACTGGATCAGTTGAGATCACTTCAAAATTTTAGGGCTGTCCAAAACTTGTGAAGGATTAAAATGTGGCCAAGGATCAATGTATTTGGGCAGCAGATTTGTCAGCATTGGCTTTAACATTTGGCATTTTGGACAATTAAAGTTGTTACAGTTATTTTATTAACGTACAGGATACATTATGTTCATGTTTATTGAGAATTAAATATAGCAGCATTCAATTTGTTATTTCCTGGATTATGTTACTAGAATTGCATTCTTAGATGAGAATCGATATAATACATTATCGTGTCCAAAACACAAGCTTTCATTTTCAGTACTCAACAAGTAAAAATTACTAATGGAAGGAGCACGCATTTGTTTTTGTGTAGATTGAGGCTCGCAAGAAAAACACATGCAGTATCAAGAAATTAAAAATTAACAGTTCAAAACAAAAGTTTTTGTAATAACAGGCTGCTTTCAGCAATTGTACAACTAGCAAATGAGATGAGCATTTTTAAACATTAGTCCACAATCGGTATTTAAATTAGAAATGATGTGTTTAATCTTGTGGCCTTTGGAGAAGATCAATCTGCTTTATAAGATTTTTTTTCTTGTATGAGAACAAAGTATAAAGGTGCAGTGCTGGAGCATGTATACTTAAAATACTCTTACATGAAGAGAACAGTAATTCTCAAAGTATGAGTAACAAAATTATTAAGCTTTGCTTTTTGATTATGTGAGTAACACATTTAACTATCATGAAAACATTGTCATAGGAAGACATGTTTCCATTCTCTACATTTTTCATCTAATAATTTGGTCAGTGGCAGTATTCAAACTGAAGTTCTAGATTTTTGCTGCAGGTAGAAGCATCAGGTGTCTTTTTTTTTACTTAGAATGCAATCCTCCATCTAAACTGCTTAGGTTAGAGTGTGTTCCTTTGAGATTTGAACAGTCTAACTACAGGATTTGCATTGTGGTATTCTTTATCAGTTCTATATATGTACTTTATTTTATCCTTCCCATATTTAAAATTGAAATCACAAGGCAAACACCATTTGTCATTTTGGTTTATTTTCAGTAGAATGTGTCTTTCACTTGGATATGGAATCACCTTTAAAACATAGGAAACATAATCTGAGTTACTTTACATTGACCTAAAAGCACTGCACCTTTTAGGGGAAAAAAACGCTTGTATCATTGAACTAATCTTTCAACTGTCATTTTACTTTCTTTTGCAAAAGGCATAAACTACACTGGATCTACTGGAGCAATTGTGGGCTCACATGAATCTTATCAAGACCCAAGAGAGAAAAACACAAAAAGGTAAAATGGAAAGAAATACCTTAAATAATATTTATGGGATTTTTATATATTCTGTTTCAGAATTAAATTTGTTATTTATTTTATTTCAGTTACTTTTACCCCGCCGTTCTCACCCCCGAGGGGGGACTCAGGGCGGCTTACAAAGGAAGGCACAATTCGATGCCTATATCAAATATACATACATACATAACAGCACTTAAACAATTAACAAATTAAAATAATCAGTACATAACAATAACAATAACACAATAGTAAACTAATCCATAACAATAACACAATAGTAAACTAATCCTATGCTCAGCGCTCAGAGTAAGGCAAACATTTTAAGATTTTCAAATATCAACAATGTAGTGTGTCCTCTAATACCTATAGAAGAAGTTTAGAGATAATCGTACTAGTTTTGTCATGATTAATGTCAGTTAAATATTTTAGTCTTAATTTGGCAGATTCTCATATACCATCCAAGTGAAATAACAATTTATCCAGAGATAGTGACAACTAGTAGTTTAAATTCACTCAGTCTGAATTGTAAATAAGTAATCCAAGATACTGAATCTATAGGTAAAATAGGTTCAGCACCTTGTATATTTCCTTTAAGATTATCCAGAGACTTGAGCAGATCCACTATTCTAATTAGAATGAGACCCACCAGCAACATATGCTTCTGTTGCTGTTGGCTTTGAAATTTTATTGCCTGCCATTTTTGCTCTTTGTCCCTGCTCCATACATGGCATTTATTTATTTATTTATTTATTGCATTTATATACTGCTTTTCCCACCCTGGGGGGATTCAATACATCAAATAAATGGCAAAATTGAATGCCTCGCATACAATAAAAACAGTTTATCACACATCTAAAACAATATCATATAGCTATAAATTAACCATTAAAACTATAAACCAGGTGTCCTCAAACTACGGCCCTCGAAGGTCATTTACCCGGCCCTCGCTCAGGGTCAGCCTAAGTCTGAAACAACTTGAAAGCACACAACAACAACCCTATCTCATCATCCAAAAGCAGGCCCACACTTCCCATTGAAATACTAATAAGTTTATATTTGTTAAAATTGTTCTTCATTTTAGTTATTGTATTGTTTTTAAGTGTTTTTTTGCACTACAAATAAGATATGTGCAGTGTGCATAGGAATTCATTCATTTATTTATTTTCAAATTATAATCTGGCCCTCCAACATTTGAGGGACTGTGACCTGGCCCTCTGTAAACCATTAAACATAAAACATTTTAACATTGCACTGATCCCGAGATTGTCATCCCTCTGCTACATTATTGTTGTCGCATAAGGAGGATTGGTTTTTGCCTAGATCATTCCAGAACAACTGAATTACAGGTGTTTGGGAGCAATTTTGTCCACAGTACCAGCCACTTCACCATTTCATATTGAAACAAGGATCCCAATAAAAGTGCCAGCCATGTCAACTAGAAAATTCTCCACTAATTTAAGAACCCTTTCTGTTGTGTAAAGCCTCTCTTGGCAAACAGATTTCTTGGCCCCACTGCTGACAATCAAAGCTTCATTAAGAATTTACATGATCCTGATGTCCCCTTCAATTAGTTACAGACTTCCGACTTTCTCATTTGTTGAAAATACTACAAATACAAATACTACAAATACTACAAGCAAATGCATGATGTATTTTGCTAGTAAAAGTATAATGGTTGATACTTTTTCAAGTGATCCCGAAGTGCTCCAAAGTAAATGTCCTGGGATTTTCCAATTATCATATCCAAGACTAGCTCAGCCAACTTTGCCAGGAAGACTAGTGGGAAGCAAAATGACGAATAGCCTGACAGAATCGCTGAATTATATCAGGTATAAAAATTTGAATTCAATTTTCAGTTTAACAAGTCAACAAGAAAGATCCTTTGTAATTAGATTTCCTTGGAAATAGAACTCATTTACTTCTGAAAGATTTAAACATATGTGAATTAATGGAAAGCAAGCAGAATCTCTAAGTGCATTGCATTGCAGTGTAAGTTCATAATGTTGAAGCATGTATTTGTTTTGCAGTCAAGATGCAGAGTTACCTGGTGCACCAGAGAATCTGACTTTCCGAGAACGACAAAGACTTTTTTCCCAGGGCCAGGATGTCTCCAATAAAGTAAAGGCATCTAGAAAATTAATGGAATTGGAAAATGAGTTAAATACAAAATAGGATAAAAGGCACCTTAACAAAAGCGGCCAGAAAGATCAGCAAGGGACTAGGAAAGGAGCTGTTGAAAAAGAGAGAAGCGTCGTCTGGCAAACAGGATGAAAGTTGGACTGTTTGACATTTAGTCATGTTTCAGTAGCAAAGACAAAAAAAAAACCCCTAAAAGCATTATTTACAAAGAGCTTGTGGTTTATACAATTAAAGCACTGTATAATATATTTTAATTTTATGAATCAAGTGTCATTATATCCTTTCTCCACATCCTTTTAGTTGTTTTGAGGTTTAGCTATTTTTGCAAGTCTTGGTTGCTTCCTAGTCTCTTGCAGAAACACTTCGTTTGCTGCTAATCAGAAAAAGTGGCAATAGCTTGAACTGCCCAAACTAATCTCTGCACTGGTTTATTGTTCTGTGTGGTTTCTGATACACAGTTTAGGGTGTAATACACATTCAAGGGATACTGAGAATTGTTCATATATATTATTAGCATATCATTGAAAGTTGGGGTTTTTTTTTAAAAAAAAAAACCTTTACACAGCTGAAATAGCACTATTAGAGCATTCAATCCTCGCACACAGTTGTTATCTGTATCATAAAGTGCTTTGGGCATGAAATAATTAACTTATACTGGTTGCAGTCCAGTAATATGACAAGACAGCCACCTTGATTTTTTCACCTATTTATCCTTCATCTCTACACTGAATTGTAAACCACTTCTGAAACTTGAGTTTTGAAAAAGAGGGTTGTGAAACATAAATGATAAAGCTTGTGTGTGTGTGTGCAAGTAAGTGTAAAAGAGAGAGATGAGGCAATGTTTTGAACTATTTAGAAACACTAGAAGCAACAGGAATAAGCTTGTTCTGGTAGCTCCATTGTAGCCAAGTCCAAACCAAAGTTAAATATTCCTGAAAGGACTAGAAAAATTGAATAGTTAGCATTAAATACTACTTGGAGAATGGAGTATGGTTGCTGTGGATGGTATAAAAAGAAAGTATTGTCTGTCAATAAGAATTTCACTAAGGTGTCCTGATAGTGCTTTGTCCTCAATGTATAGTATCCTCTTGCTACATACTACAGAAAATGTTGGCAGTTCAAGCTATTTTTTACACTACATTGCAGCATTATTTAATTTTAAATGGTTGAAATCTTTTTTTCCATTGTTCCTTCAGCTGTGTGTGTATGACTGGTGTTGAGAATAAGGACCTCATCAGAGTTTGTTTCTCATTGTATGATGTTTAAGAACAATATATTATATTGTGATTCTAAGCAAATTTTCTATTTGATGAAGCCCTTAATTGGGTTTTAGATAATTTTTTTCTGTATAATATGTTCTCTTATAAATATATATTTAGGGAATTATGCACACTTCCAGATGCAGAGGGTAGACTTTCACTGCCTTAGGAATCACTTTTAATAAGTTGTATGATAAAAAATAAATGCAAGTTAATGATATTAAAATTGGAGTGTAAATATTTTTTTTACGTATTTCAGATTTCTTATTTGAAAGTGTGCTTTTACCGTTCACCTGTTAAATATGAAGTAGGAGATTAAATTGGTTGAAAGTGTTAATGAAGGATCTGCATGCTTGCGATGTCTGTTAATCAGGAGAAGCAAGCTTTCCCCAATTTATCTTGAGAACACTAGATATTCTGTGGCTGGAATATTACTGCTGCTAGAACCTAAGCAAAGAAATATCACTTAACTGTGGAGTGGATATGACCGCTGTTGGGCATTCAGGCCACCTGTGAATATGAGTAAAAGTGCTTTTCATAACTGTTTGTGCATTACTATGGGAAAAAACATCAAAACTGCTGTAGTTCCCCATTTCTACTGTATTTCACTTGCAACCTATTTTTAATAAACTTTGTATTGTATTTAACTTTGCACTGTATAATGTCTGTACAGAGAGTATTTGTTCACATTACACACGTGCACACTTTTAATTCCGATGGCAATCTCACAAGAGAAAGGATTCTGTCTGTAATGTTTAATGTGGTATTTCTTATCTTTACCATCTTTCTATCCAGGTTAGCTCAATGATGAACAAAATATAAACTGAGTTACATTGAAAGTTCTGTTAAAACAAATGGGATGTTATTTATTTATTTATCATTTAGTACGCTTATATACCGCTCCTTTCAGCCC